AACGGCGGTAAAACGAAAGCTCAAGAAGCAACGGAGAGGGCAACCTCCGGGAAAACGGCGAGTGCTTGGCTGCCGTAGTTTTGCTTAATTATTTTAATTATTTTTATATACCGCCTACGCTTTTGCGCTGCAATTAAAACGCTGCGGCCTGGCCTTCATTGAGTGCCCATCACCCCAACCTAGGCTCCAATTTTTTATTCCCAGACTCTTTTTCTTTTTTTTTTGTTTCCGCTTTTTGCAGGTGGAGTGGAAGGCAGCTGCTGCTGCTGCTGCTGCAAGTGAAATTGGTATGCAAATGCTGGCTGGCTACACAAAATGTCTGGCTAAAAGCGCTCCGCTCCGAAAAATAAAAAAGCGGTAAACATAATTAAGGGGGGCGTGCGCAGGTCGAGTGGCTAGTGATACTCAGTACTCAGTACTCGGTACTCAGTACACTATCGTGTGTAGTTTGTACTCGAAAATGCAATTTAAATGGCAGTTAGCAAACGCCCCGAAGTATGCAATCGCCTTTGATGGCTCGCATTGGATTATCATTGATGCCAATGAATCGAATGGATTGGAAATCGGGCAGCAGACTTGTTCATTTGATTGGCAGCTCGCTTACACGCACTTTGCCTCCAGCACACACTCAAGGCCGAGATAATAGGATCATTGCCTTGACACGAATAGCTAGTCATGTGTTTGCAACCAACCGATTCTCGTGGGAAATTAGGTTTTAATTAATTGGAGTAGATATAAATTAAATGCGAATGGAAAAGTATGTAGTTTTGTGATTTCCAAGAAAAATAAAATAAATATTTCAATCGTAATCAGTATTTCTAGCAGTGACATACAAATATTTACCGGTTTGTAACCACTGTAGGAATTAATATAGCATACTTTACAGAGCCGCTTTACGAGATTTCAAACCTCTAGGTACTTATGTTCAACTTTTTCCTATAATCTTTATATTTTGCACACTTTTCCCATTAATTTAGCCCCACCTTTAGTAACTATTGTTGCGACCACGGGTGCACATTCGCATGCCTGTGTGGAAAACCTTGCATATCCTTTGATGCCCGACACGAGTGAAAACGACACTACATTAGCCTTATAGCAATTAACAAGGCTTTTCCTGCTAATCCCATATGTACAAGTTTTCAGTAATTGAAACTGTCGACTGTCTAAGCCCAATTACAGTCTGCCAAGCCAGCTACATTGTTTCCTCGCGTGTCTATGTGTGTGTATGCAAGTGAGTGTGTGTGTGTGCTGGCCATAAAAATGACTGAAACTGTCGTAATTGAAAGCAACTTTATTAAGCCGTTGCTGAAAATCTCAATTTAGGGCGCATTAAAATGGCCAAAATGTAAGGGAAGAGCCTAAGGGCTTGCTCTTTTATGTTTCACTTTGTATGTTTTATCCAAAACTGAAATTTAATCTCGTGTTTGTGTGCGCGCTTGTGCGACAATCTAAACAAATAATGATTTAATAAAGGACGAGCACACACGCACGCAATTCCATTGTACTATTGATACCATTGTTTTACGGTCTGCTAATCAAAACCAACTCGACCCCGCCCTCGCAATTGCCATCGCCATCGCCATCGGAGGGCTCCTGAATTATAAATGAGACCTAAAACTCTCGTTTAATATTTAAACAAAATCAAATCAAGGAAAAAAGGAAGGCAGGCAGGCAGGCAGCCAAGACAGCCAGTCAAACAGTCAGACAGTCAGAAGGACGACGACGATGACTGTAAAGCTCCAACTCGGAAATATCAAGTGGAAAATATCAAATTGTGAGAGGGGCCAGGACCTAGTGGGTGGTGCCAGGGGGCGGTGGTGGCGTTGGGTTAGTGGGCGTGGCGTTTTTCAAATGCGAAGCCAACTGTCTGACTGACTACGCTCTGGGCCAAGAGCTCGCCACTTAAACTAATTTGATTTCTATTGAGGCAAACAAATAATAAATAATGAATTTACATTTCTATGCGTGTCCGGGTGGATTGCGTTGCCATGACGGATCTGGATCTGAATCTAAATCTGATTCTGAGTCCGATTCTGAATCTGAATATAGCTGGAGGGAAAAGTTGAGTGAGTGTGTGTGAGAAGGTCGAGCGGCGGTGCGACTTGCATTATGTGCAGCGAGACTACACTATACTACACTTCTGTGCCGACTTCTAAGCCCACTTGGCTGTTGTTCTCCTTGGTAATTAGGTGCACTGCAAGCTCGCTACCTGATTAAGAACTAAGCGGATTACAGCAATTACCGGCGAGTTATGGATGCGAATGAATGTTTGCAAGTGGGATACTCTAAGATAATTGCTACGAGACCGAGTACCAGTACGAGTACTTCTTTCTTTCTTTCGAGTCCCCGCGGAACGGAGTGAAAACACTTTGACACTCGGTGTCAAGTTTCCAATTTCCATTTTCGACCTATAAATAAATCATGGACCCGGCGAGAAAAGTTAAGTAAGTGGGCTGTGAATGTGATGCCGGATAAAGCGAAAAAATAAATGGGATGAACAACTTAGGCAATAATTCTTCGACTGCGCGCAAAAGTACTGGAACTTATTGGAAATTCAATCCACCGCTCAGAGATTTGAATAGGTTTTGGGAAACTGGTTCAAGATTTCAATGCTCGAACATCTTTTTGCTTTTTTTTTATTCGTTTTTTTTTCTTTCTGGGTGCTCTAGATGCTCGTCGTGTCCGGAGTGCTGGTCTTTCGTTTTGTCATGATTGGAGGTGAGATTTATTTACAGATGAGTGGATGGGTCGCATCTCTGGGTCGCAACTAAATACAAGTTTGTTTTGTAAATACAAATGTGTGGGTGCTCATTTGGGGTTCGGTTTGCTTTGTTTGCATTGTTGTTTGCTATACAACAGAACTATACAGATGTTATGGTAACAAACGCGAAACGAACTGTACAAAAACTTATGTAGCTGCGGCTGGTAAAAATGTACAAAATTTCAAATATGCAAATTTCAAAACCAAAATCCAATCAAATTTCTCATGTGTGTGCACACCTCTGTTCGTTATTATTATTCATCTTTCGATAGTCGAATTTCGAATCAAGTACACACACTGGCACACACACTCGCACACGTATTTAAACATTGAATTGCTCTAAATTGATTTGTAGTTGTAGTTTCAGTTTTAGTTTTCAGTTTTCAGTTTTAGTTTGGGTTTTAGTTTTGCTTTTGGTTTTGGTTTTGGTTTTGGTTTATTGGGTTCTGGAGAGATCTGTTGCTGTTGTTGGAGTGGTTGAAAATGTTGAAGTAAGGAAAGTATACATATCATATAAATATTGAATAGAGTTTGCAAATATATATGGATATATATTTAGATATATGTAAATGTTTGGTAATAAAAAATAGGTATGGAATAAACAATTTGGTTTTCAGTCTCGTGTTTCTTTTGCTTGCTTTTATATATTTACACAATTTATTTTTCGCTGGTAATTGTTAATTATTTACAGTTAAGGTGGAACGGAAAATGCACAAAACCAAAGAAGAAACCAAAAGGAAAAGAGAGAAACAAAAGTTCTTAACTAAAACTGGTTATAGTTTCCTGTTTTTTGCTTTTTCTCTTCTTTTGATTCGATTGGGGGTTTGCCTTTTTGCTCCGATTCAATTGGATTTGGAATTAGAATTAGATTGAGAATTAGAATTAAAGACTGCCGCGCTGTTTTCCTTTGTCTAGATGGTTTTTGTATTTCGAATCTATGGTACTGAGTAGACCTATCTGATGGTTTGGCCCTGGGTTTTAGTTTCGGTTTCGGTTTGGGGTTCGGTTTCAGTTTCAGTTTGGCTTTAATTGGTTTGCTCTGTTGGGAGGGGTTAATCTGCTAATCGGCTAATACGCTTGAAAATCGCAACTAAGTAGCTTAATTGGATTGACACTAACTTTGGGTATTGGGTAATATTAATTCATAGTGGTACGAGTAGTAGTTTAGGTTGTAACTTTTCGGGATTAATTGCAACGTGTGTACGAGTATGTTGAGGAAAAATATACAAGTTGATTTTGGTTTTGTTATCGGTTTTCTAGGTGGTTATATATATATTTTTTGTGGTTAGATATGTACTTCTTGTTGATTGATAGATTGAGTGGTTATTCGTTGTTGTTGATTGATTAGTTGATTGCTTGATTAAAGTGAGGTGAGTTCGAGATATACAGAGAGAGAGGTAGAGAGAGGACCCTTGCCATGACAAACGTAAACAAAGTAGAGTTATTTTTATTCATTTCGTATGCAGAGTAATTGTTGTTTGAGACTATTTACAAGTTTGGTTTGGTTTGGTTTCGTTTCTTTTTTTTTTTTGGTTTTGTTTTGTATAATTAACCAAAGGTTGCATTAAAAATCATACAACAACTGAACCAAAATAGAAACAAAGTTCGAACAAAAGGAAAAGAAGAAGAACAACCGAAGAGAACTCATCAGAAGTACGGAAATGATTATCCAAAATCCTGCGTTTCTTTTGTGTGTGTTTTCGAAAAAAGAGTTAAAAATTGAGAACGTGTTTTAATCATTATTTTTTTTTTTTTTTTTTTTTGGTTTTTTTGCTTTTCAGTTGGTCATTGGACGGAACGAAAAACTTTTGTATTCTCGTTTTTGAGTGAAATGAAAACAGCGCTTAAATAATAAGGTTAGGTTAGTCATGTTGGTTAACTAAGGGAGCATTTCGAAATATATGTAATAATAGGTTTTCAAATGATAACGGTAACTGGTATTTTGAGATAGCGAGTTAGGAGATAGAGTCTTTGTATTTTCATTTTAGTTTGCTTGCTTTGCTTATAACTTATTTTAGAGAGAGAGATAGAGATATAGAGAAAAATATAAAGTTAATGCTTACAATCATTCATATCGTCATTGGATCTCATTATGTACTGATCCGATGAAGATAGTCTTGAATGCCCGTTCGTATTGGGATGAGCTCCCCCCTATGATCACTTTGTTTATTAGAGCTACGCATCGCCAGTGCAGATGGGTTCGACTGATGCATATACATACTATCACCTTCGCACTCACTTTCTTTATATTGGAGCACATTTTTATGCTTCTCATAGATAACCAGGCAACGATGACATCCTTTCCTAAAAAAGTTTTTGGTTGCAACGAAAAGTTTTGTATTTTGGTATTTGGTAATCGGTATTCGGTATTCGGTAGTTGGTATTTGGTATTTGGTATTTGGTATATAGTATATGGTTTTACTTGTTCATATGGTATAATGGTTGAGTGGCATAATATTCATGTTTCTTGTGGGGTTTTTCGTTGGTTCGGTGGTGCGGGATGTGTGTTGGCTTGTTTTTTTGCGGGTTCTTGGCGCAATCGACAAATAATACGGTTGGTTAACTAAGGCTAAGACTTTGACCGGGCATTCTGAAGGTCCCTCCGTGTGTTTGTGTGAATGGAAGGTATCGGAAACGAAATATCTTATGTATATACTGGGTGCAAAGCGAGGAGAATCACACCGAGGCATTATCCCGTCGCCTGCTTTCAAATGTTATTCGATTTACTCTTGCCGAACTGGTACAAAATAAACATGTTATAATCCCAAAAGCCTGGCCCAAAGTCGATAAATTCCTTTAGAAGGATTTCGATTTTGTCCACGCTTCAGTTTGTTAGATTCGATTGAAAAGCGATTAATTGATTGATGTCATATATCGAGTAGAAGTAATCAAATGATCATCGAAAGGAACTCAAAGGACGAACACTTAATAACGCAAGAAACTCACAAAATATATGTTGTTGAAAAGTGATGTAAAAATACTTTGAATACATATTTATTCGTATAGATAAGTGGATAACGTTTCAAAATAAACAGTTTCATCTTGGGTTTTGTTTGATTATTGATTGTGGTTGGGCAGAATGTGGGGGTTTCGTTTAGTTTCCTAGTTGGTAAGATAGTTGATGGGGCTCGGTTTGGTTTCGATATGTTTACGATATTTATTGGTATACGACAAAAACTTGTACAGAACAAAACGAAAGGCGGCCGGAGGTGAGGGCGTGGCAAATGGGTGAATTAAATATGAGCATGAATACGATCCACGCCTTCGCCTCCAGCAGCACAGCAAAAGGCCAATACTATTTAAAGAGTAAAAGTAAGGCAGCGGAAAAATCAAAAACATTTTCACATTTCAGCTACAACGGAAAAACTTAGCTTACGGATAGGATTATTCATATGTTTATTAAATATTTATAAGCATAAACATGGCAAAACACAAAATTCAAAATAAACTCCACTTGGGTAACTCAATGTTTTGCTTTCGATGATTTTTTTCGTGTTTTTCGTTTTCGGGTACGTCTGGGTTTTTTCGCATTAAGGAAAGCAGCTTAAAAGGGTTTTAATTGTTTTTCACATTGCTCTTAACGACTAAAAAACATTCATACGAAGGAAAACAAAAGAGGAATTCCAGGCCAAAGCAAAAGGAATGGCTGGAAAGTCGCAGTACAAAAAGCAATTTTCCTTTAAATGTCTTTGGTTTTCGTTTCGTATCGTTTCAAATGAAAAAGCATCGGAGGGAAAAACGGGCAGCAACAAACGCAGCTGCTAAGTAGGGAAAAATGTGGAGTAACACAGATACAGATACAGAGTAGTCAAAAAGGCAGTTCTCTAAATTAAAAACACAATACGTGGGTACGTAAAAAGTTTGATTTAGTTTTTAGCTTTGGCTCGCTAGCATTTACAACACGATTGGGGGTATTGGGTCTTGGGTACACAAACACAGGCACGGATATATCTATCGGGCGATATATAGGCACGTAATACGTATATAGGGACAAAGAGATGGACGGGCTGGGTGTTCTTTTCTTTTTTATTCTTTTTTTTGCCTTGGTACATGACTGGCTCTTGTCAAACATCCGAATTACGAGCAGCGCGCTGCCTTCAAGAAAGTGCCCTGCACTCGGAGGAGATGGAGATGGAGATGGAGTGGCGAGGATACGGCTGCCTTCTGCCTTCTGCCTGCTGCCTTCTACCATTTTCCTGGTGCGGCAAACAAACTCGACTCAAACCCGTTTCAAAGGCAAAAGTTAAGAGCAGCAGCTGGCAGACGGCGGCAACATCAACAACAACAGCGGCAACTGTGGCGGCAGCAGCGACAACGTTAGCGATAACGTTGACGACAGGTTTTGACTGCCTGTGTGAGTGAGGCGTTACACGGAGAAAAAATATTAGCTATACTCAGTTTAAATTATAAAACTAAAAAAAAAGATATCTCTGCTGTCAATCAAGCCAAAATAAAAATGCCTACTCTTTAATCAGTGGCAAACATTTAGGGAGGAACAATATCCATTCCGCTATTGAATTGATTTTAATGTTATAAGAAAACTATTAGAAGAGGAACCATATCCTTCTCGCCATTGAAATGATTTTAATGTAATAACAAAACTATTAGAAAAGGGACTATTCTAACTATTTTCTGACATTATATGCGTTAAGTTTGAAGGAGGCAGAAACATTGTCTATTTATTTATTGTATTATGGAGGGACCAATCAAAAAACTTGATACTGATTTGATTTACGAAGACAATGTTGGAATAATTAAAATGTTAATGTCCTAACATTATATTATATAATATTCCGAATCTTTAAATTAGAATTCCTCTGCAATTAATTATATTTAGGCCAGAGACCTCATGTGAACTGGAATTTTCTCTCCGTGTCCCTTAGTTTTACATGTCTCCCTGACGCCTTCGATGCCTTCGATGTGGCTCATACCTCACTCCTATTTTGCTCACCCCTCGCTGCTCATTGCTCGCTGTTGTCTTTGGCCAGCCCTTCACTCCGCTCCACTCCACTTCCCTCACTCCGATGTGCTGACTGGCTTCTTTTTAATGAGGTTAGTGCTGCATTTTGCCGCCCGTGCGGAGGGTCCTCAGCCTTACCTTAACACATTTTACCGAGCACACACACCTTTCCTCAGTCAGAAATGAAAACTTATTCAATTATAGGCACTCTCCGACAAAGGAGCCAACACAACGAACAAAAAACAATATATACATATATAGGTAACATATGAATGTGGGGAAAAGTAAACCAGAACATCTCATTTTCCCAGGCCTGTGCCAAAAACGCACGAGTCTTTCGCCAGCCAATGGATCGAGTATCGGGTTGAGATGTTAGCATATTGTTAGCGGGCGGAGCGGGAACCTCACCCCCCACCACCCCCAACCCCCCAAAAGTGGAGGGGGGAGGGGAAGGGTTGGGGATTGGGTCCCGACCGGAGAGATGGTACTTACTCGTCGACAATGAGATATTTGTTACCATCGGAGGCCGCACACCTGCCGCGGTAGCTGAACTGGGAGCCCTTGATGTGAATGGATTGCTGATAGCCGGACAGGAACCAGGAGCCCTCCCATCGAGCCGGAAATGTGCAATTTGTGGGTGCTGCAAGCCAAAATACACAGTAATAATTTATTAATAAACGACTCGACCATTAATGCATTAAGATATTATATTCCAATTGCCTCCCCGTGGACATCAGTTGGGCTCAGATGTGATGTGACCTCAATTGCGTTCATTGTTCATTTAAGAGCCGCATAAAAAGAAAAAGAGCAACCGCAATCTTTCCCAATAAAGTGCGATTGCAGCAGGCACATTTATTTAGCATTTTATCATTTACTTGGGCGCACAAAGGCACTTGCTTATTGATAAATTTAGATTTCGGTTGGCCACTTTCTTCGGCCGCTCTCTTCTAATTGTATTGTCAAGTTTTCGGTGGCAAGATTTGTGGCATTTTAATTTGTAAATTGTTTCAATTATTGTTATGATTGTAGTTAAGTGCGTGCGCATAAGGGGCCGCAAATTTACGAGCCGCCATCAGGAGTGGGAAACTGGATGGTAGGGTAGGGTATCCAGTTTTAGGGGAGGGCAGTCGCATAAATAAGTTGAACGAGCCAGGCAACCAAAAACTGCTCGTAATAATAATAATGTCACACACAGATACGCACACACACACACATAGAGTGGCAGCAGAACTACCGAAATGGCAATTGTGAATATTAAAAAAAAAAAAAGAAAGCAGGGAAAAAAAAAAAAGGAACTCAACTCATGAACAGAGAAATGGGAAAGGCGAAGCCAAAGTATAGAGAAAGAAACGTAAACGGAAAGTTAGCTAACGGCATGCCACACTCGCACACTCGCACACTCAGGCAATAAGTACTATATCCCATACAATGGGTATAGACCCGCCACACAGATACATATAGAAAATGGTAAAACCACCCTCTGAGCCGTACATATAGCTTAATGTTTGGGCACGATTGGCAGCGGCGGGGAGTTTTCGAGTTGGGATAAGGGTGGTGGCCAGGAATCAGTCCTCGCCGCCGATGGGCGGTGGGTGGTGTGCGATCTGGGAACTGGAAACAGCGAACAGGGAACGGAAAACGGGGAACGGGAACGGGAACGGGAACGGGAAACAGGAATGGGAAAGTCGGAACCGGCAAGATGGAGTCGGAGACGGAGGACGAAGGACTGAGGACGAAGGACGGTCCGAGTTCAGGCTACGCATTCAAATACAGAAAACTCGCAAGGAGAGACGAATGTGCGCACCCGAGCCAAAAGCAGAAACAGAAACAGAAACACAACCAAAGGCAAAGAGTCGATGTGCAGAGCAAAAAATTCAACGAAATTCAATATTCAGTTCAATAAAAATGATCCGATTCCAATGCAAATATATCGATTTTAACCCTTTTACTCAGAACAAATTGAAATACAATAAAAATTGAAATAATTAAAAACATCCAAATAAAGTTTAATACAAAAAATCCTTGTTATTAATAATTGGCGCTGGATATTGACACTTGATATTCAACGAATGAAAAAATATTACATTTTTGAAAATAGTATGTTAGAAAAATAGTTCTAATTTATTACTGTGTATCCAAAGCAGCAACGACTAAAGCGGCAACACGGTGCCACACTCACACTCCCGTCGAACACACACAAACACACACACATAGCCGTACTTACAGCGATACACATTTTATTTTATTATTCCTTTCCTTTCTTTTATTTTACTTGTTCCTTGTTGATTCCATTTTTTTCGCTTTTTGTTTTTACATTTGCGGCAAACAAAAGGTACTCATGCGCAGGATCAGCGCAGCGCTCTGAACTCTGAGCCCCAACTGAGTCGCAGCTCAGACCTCCGACTAAAGTCGAACATATATAGCTATAGCTTTGGCTGTAGCTGCAAAGCGAGTGTGTGTGCTTGTGTGTTTCCCAATGACCTGTGCTTTTTACGGGCCGCATTCGCATTCGCATTCACATTCGCATTCGCTTGGCTGTCATAATGCGGCCCATACGCACAGCGGGCTGCCTGAGTTGTGTGAAAAGTGTAGCATACTTTGCCGGGCAGCCACCGCCCCGAATGAAACGAATATTTCGAACTACGGACTCCGGGACTTCGCTATCCGCCATCCATTCCGGAACCGGGAGCGGGAGCGTGAGCGAACCCGGAACGGAGTCCCGAAACCGTAACCGAAAACGAAAACGAAACCCACCCTCCTCCTCCCCGCCGACGAATAATTGTTTCGCCAATTTCAAGTACCGTGAATAATTTTCCAACATGATTCAATACTTTTGCCTGAGTGCCGCAGTTGAGTATTGTTGCTGCTGCTGACGCTGCCACTGCCGCTGCTGTTGCCGCCGGCTGATGGCAACACAATCATCGCACGTTGCCCTCCGCCCTTAATTCGCTACCCCTGCTGAAAATATGCTGCAGGACAAGCTTAAGTAAATACAAGCCAGCAGCAAATATACGACAGCGACCACGGGAGACAGACAGGCGGACAGACAGGCGTACAAATGCGTATAGACAGTTGAAATGACGGACGCGAAAGCACGGGGCACGGGGAACGGGGCACGGGGCTTTGCGGATATATTTTCGGTGTGTTTTTCGTTTGGATTAGAGTGGCTCACAAGAAAATACACGGTATGGGGAAAAAAAACCCGTACAAATGGAGAGGGGGAACATGAAGAAGCTTAGGCAACAACAAAGCGAAATGTTTGGGGAGGGGGATGGGAAATAAAACAAATATGCTCAAAGAGTTGCTCCTCACAATGGGTCTGGGATCCCTATAAACTGACAGTAATCAGGTGCATTAATCAAAGCAAATCTCGGGGAGCTTTGCCAGCTGCGAGGGGGGCGAAAGGTATCCAAGGCGACTTTTCCGACACATACATATGCTAAACAAGAAATGGGAACAGGGAAACTGGGAAAAGCGCCGCAGAATGATAATCTTGCACTTGAGTAAGCTTTGGAATATAATTTGCCTACTATAATTAGATTCAAGGCAAACTTGTATCAATTTAATTGGTTCAGCAGTTACGATATAAATAGTACTTATAAAATTATTACACTCAAAAGACCAATCAATAGGCGTTAACATAATTTGTTCGGTATAAAATGTGTAATTTGTGAATGGCCTGCTTTTCTAATTATTCTTGCCCGCATTCAATTGAGATTGACAGCGAGAGTGTTTAACACGATATTAATTATGCACTACTCTGTCATTTGTGGTTCCTGTTATGACAAGCAATTTCCTATCGGCAGCAACGTACTATACACTTATCTTATCTGCGATGATCTATAATGACAACTTCAGCGCGCTAACAACTCCTTAACCCAATTATGTGGCCCACACTTATGGGTGTGCGCAATTTGAAGAGCCCGTTCGCTAGGAGCCCGGAGTAGGGGTCCATTCGTGTGTGTGTGTGTGTGTTTAAGGGAGTCCTATCCAGTCCACATTACTGGACCACCCCTATTGAACAGACCGGGCTATGGCTGTACGCACCCCGAAAGAACAGACAAACACTTATTCCGGCACATAGCCAGAACTCAAAGAGCATGACGCTTTCGCCTGCGAGACTCATTTGCGTTTTGGGCTTGGGTCTGGATTTTGGACTTTACTTTCGCAGAGGGACAGCTGTGTTGGCGGAGCAGCCGGAGGAGGGGGCGGTGGATTAGGGGCGGGGCAACCGAAATGCTTTTGTCTAACTTGAGTGAATTATGGTCGGCGGTTGGTCGGTGGTCGGCGGTTGCTGGCTGTTTGTTTCGGGCAATTTCCGTACAATTTGCCATTGCATGTTGCTGTTGCCGGAGCGGCTGTTGCTGCTTCTCCGCTGCCTCTGCTCCTCAGCTTGTTTTTGTTGTTGTTGTTGTTTTCATTGTTTTTGGGACGCTCTGTTTTTTGCTTTTGGGTAGATTCGCTCATGGAGAAACAGTTGAAACGCATTATACGAACGCAGATCTGCGGTCACAAACTACTTATGGATTCAATTGAGCATGACCAAAAGAGGGGGTGGCCACTGGGGTGTGGACGGGGAGGGGTAGGGGGATGAACCGCCAGCTGACGCTCTGTTGCGAGTACAAATTATGCCACAAAAATTAAATGAAATTGGGGTTTGGGGAGCTCTTTGGGGTGCTGGGGTGCTGGGGTCCCGGGGTCCTTCGTTCCTTCGCTTCTTGGGTCCCCGAAGTTTCCCGGGCACTTTCTTGGCGCGCCAAGTGAAATTATAAATTCCTATCATAGCGCTACTTATCGGTGGGGGTTCTACTATACTACGGTTCTACTCACTTTCTTGCCGACCGCCCCAGCCGCTGACGGACGTGGCCAAAAGCAGCATTAGCAGCGGTCCCAGCCAACTTTTTGTCGACGTCATGGCGCAGCTCCTGCTCCTTCTCGCCTCGATATTCGTTGTTATTGTTGTCCCCGCCGGGAAGCTGGATTCGTGGGAGTGGGAGATGGCGTATCCGTTGCCCGGCAGCAGCTGCTGCCACAAGAACATCAGCCACGTAATGCCGCCGGAAAGTTCCGCGGCCTCGCCCCGCCGATCCAGACTAATATCACCGTTATAGTTAAAGCACCTACATTCATCATACTCTCCATCGTGCGGCAATGCAGCACCAGTTGTGCCCCTCGCCGTTGTTTTTGTCGTTGTTTGCGATTCGTGTGCGGTTATCGCTGCTGTCGCACCTTCTCCCGCTCCACCTGCTCCGGCCATTGTTGCCGGGCTAGCGATGATTGGATTTACCTGGGCCAGCGGAGCGCCAGACGCATGACTTGGTCCTTCGCGCCGGATTCGCTCACGTCGCCAGCATCGCTTGCCGCATTCCAAGACATCCGCATTCGCTTCTACAGCCGCATCCACATCCGCGCTACCGCCGGCAACAGTGGGCATAACTAATTGCGACGTCTGCCGGAGATCGGTGCATCTATGCCCCGTCGAGTCAACGGGTAACTGAACACCCGGCAGCAGGAATTCACCAGTCGAGGAGGAGGACATTGTTGCCGCTGCAGGTTCTGCTGTGGATTTTGCTGTAGTTGTTGCTGTGGTTGTTGCTGCAGTTGTTGTTGCTGCTGTTGCTGGTGTCAACGTCGCCGCTGAAGCATGTTTATCATAATTTTTATGTTCCCAGCCGGGCGGACAAAAGCAGCTGCCCTCGATGCTCCTGCCACCATGGCTCAGGGTCTGACTCCTGCTCCGACTTCGGGTGCCGGCCGCAGGCACATGCTTACATGGATAGCAGAAAGGCGGTAAATAGATTAACGACGTTGTTCCTGCTCTCGTCTTGGATGTGGACGCAGTCGCAGTCGCAGAAGTGGTGGTGGTGGAGATGGTGGAGCTAAAGCTGGAGCTGGAGCTGGAGCTCGCTGTCCTCAGTGCCGCCTGCATTGGTTGCTGATGTGGATGCTGATGCTGCTCTTGCTGCTTTTGCTGCTGCGTGTCCTGTGGGGACAGAGACAAGAGTGGAATATTTTATTATTATGGAGCACAAACATGCTGGCTGAGCCAAGTTAATATGATATAAGGTGGCTGCGAATTTGAATTTAAAATAAAGCTGCACCCCACGGCCACTGGCGTACACAAATAATCCCACAAGATTCATTGTTCGAACCGCCGACACGCACCGAAAAACCGAAAACAGTTGCTCGTATATGTACAAATAAAACTTCCTCGGCGGCGCATTAAAAAGCAATAAAAATAAATATGGGCTCTGGGAAACCGACACTCCAATCGAAATAAAACTCCCAACGATGCGTAAATCAAAAATCACGCGCTATAAAAAAATTAGGCACAAATTTATGTGTGTTGTGTGCCCGAAAGCGTCTGCATCGCCCCCATCGCATTCCTATCACCATTTCCACTGCCATTGCCAGCATTTCCTCAGCCATAATCTTTTCCTGCATTTAGCGCCTCTGGCTGGGGAGCAGACCGAAGACCCTCCTGAAACAAAAACCACTTGAGAGATTTTCCGATTCTTGGCATGTGCGTGGAGCGGAATTCACGATCGCAGGCCACCAACTCGGGAAGTTTTAATTTCCATATCGCATGCTAGCTTTTCAAGCAACTCAGATATAACATAGATATTTTTCCCAATTGATGGAAATTTAATTGGTCACTTTTATGGTTCGGATATATGGTCAAAAATAACTGATTGAATTGGAATTTATTTTGGTGAGAATATCCCATTCCAAACGAAACACAAACTCTGCTGACAAATTACTATTGACGAATGTCAATCCATCAATTTTCCTTGTTAATTTAATGCTGGTTAAATCTGTCATCAGGGAAATTTATTTTGGACTTTTTAATACATTTACTTCACCATATAATTATGCACGTTAGGTATTTTCCGAAAAAGAATACATCCCCGTGGGATACTGCTTTTCATCATAATTTGCTAACCTGATACTTTCTGCATATCAACTTTCGAAAACTGAATACAATTACTTTGATATGCGATCATCAAATTATTTTCAATTATTCAGCGTGTTCCTTGCCAGCGCGTAACTCTACCTTCTCGCCTATCAAAATCGATTATAAGAGCACACTTTGCTTCCTTGTGACGTGAATGTAACATTCGTTTCCTGGGAAGGTGGGCGAAATGAATAGCTTTCCCCCAGCCGCCGCCAAGAGTCGCCAGGCCATGTGTCATTTATTATGTCATGAAGGTTCTTCTTAGAAATTCAGCATGCTCCAAAGAATCTAAATCAAAATGGGACGACGACTATCCCGGGGTGGAGCGGCAAGCCAGCGGACGAGCTTGCGAGGCATAATGCAATTTTGATGTTGTGTAAGCGGTGCTCTTAGCCCATCATCTATGCTAATTAAGTTAATTAAAAAGTACCAGCAAAGTATTTGCACTTGGCCAACTTCACGTCATAATCAAAGTGGAGGCGGCGGCGCATCGAATGGAAAATGAAGCCCAAGTCATGTCAAATGCTCTTAAAAAGCCAGCCAATCCCCTTCCCCTCTAGAGAAGCTGGATATCAAGATGGTGATGGTGAGGGTGACGAGGAAAACAGAGGTGGAGTGATGCTGCCGCCGGAGATGACTATGTTGCCATCCACACAGTCGAGTGTCTTTATTTAAAAATGAAGAGAACGGAGACCAAAAAAAAAAACGAGGCCAATTATAAGCTTCATCATTAATTTGAATAAAATTAATTCCCCCAAAACACACACACACACACAGACAGTGAATGAAAATGCCACAAAAGAAATGTGCCACAAGAAGAAAAATATGTCCAAAAGAAGACGAAGGACGGGGGCGAAATGACAGCAGACGGTGGCAAATAAAACATTTAGGCGGAATTATAATTTTACTTTGCTTATTTATAATTTACGTTTAAAATGTGAAACACCTGACAGCTAAAGAGAATTTATGTTTGCATGTTTTCCATTAATTTATTTTTCCGCGGCGCACCCCTCCGCCTTCCAAGGAAACTGCCGAGACCCGCGACTCCAGCCTCGAACTGCACGAAAATGCACAGCAGGAGGGTGCTTCCCCCGGGTGGAGGTGAGAGGAGGCACCAGGAGGAGCCACAAGACGGGCACATTTCGCTATCACGTTTGGACTATAAAACAGGCCAGCCCAGGCCACAAGCCCCATCCCCTCAATCCCCCGGTCCCCCGAGCCGTGCTGATGATGTTGTTGATGACGTGGAGCGCCGCTGCATAGCACCGCCAAAAATGGCAAACGGGCAACCCAAGACACTGGTCTCTAGCAGAAGGCAGGAGCCCCACACTCGGAGAAACAAAGGACTCGCAAGAAAACAATATTAAAATCATACGTTGGCAATATAAATAGTAATGAGAACATTTCATCATTTTTCATGCACTGTCCTCAAATTGTGGCGCCCCCGTGGGGATCAAGGAGGGTTTATTATCTTTTGCTAATGATAAACGAAACTTGTGTTTAAACTTTACTCCATATAATTCTTTGAGCGTTCATTTTCAAAATTATTATTTGTTTTAATTTTCGATGTACTTCTAAAACAGTCGCCTTTATCGCTACTTCTTTATTAATATAAATGTTGATATTAATGGTTCAGGTATTTCTTTATTCATTGGGAATGCACTCTGCATTTTTACCCAGTGCATCTCTGGCACAGACACAAAGACAGAAGAAAACAGAGTCAGAGACGGAGACGTCTCGACGCAGTGCAAAAACTTGTCAAGTAAATATAAACGAAATGTGTGGCACGGCACCCGGCCGGGTCCGTTTCGTTCCGTTCCGCCTCTACTTGCTTTATTTTATTCCCATTTTATTATTATTTTCACCAGGCCAAAAGACGCAGACGCCGCAGCAACAGCAGCAGCAGCAAAAGGAAAAGCAGCAGCAGCAGCAGCAGCAGCACACATAAAAAATATTTTTATGCAACATTTTTATGATTTCCGTCTGGCTGCGACAGCGGCAGGGGCACAAAGAAACTTTACCCAGTGACAGAAAGGCACACGGTCCGCTCCGATTCTGTTTCCGATTGCGGGTCCGAGCCATCTCCTTCACCTGGTTTCAATTAAAAGACACTTTTCTTTTATGTGACGGCTTATTTCTCATTACGCTTGCCATGTTCTTTGTTTTTATTTTTATTTTCATTGCAATCCGGTTCTAGGATGCCGATTCCGCATCCGAATCCGAATCGGAATGAAATTGGGAAATTGCGACTGGGGTTGGCTGCTCCTGCTGGTGTTGACGGCCGTTCACGGTTTTCTGGAGGGGCGAATGCGATTGGAATGGATGCGTTCGCTCCCTTGTCTCACTTCATCAATCATTAATTTCGTTTATTTTTAGTGAAAATAATCACTTTGGGCAACATATGTGACCGAGCAGCGTTTCGCATGTGTTTGCAGAACGGGAACGGGAATGGGATTGGGATTGGGCAAGGATGGGGTGGATTTTGTCTGGGGGTCTGACAAAGAGTCTGGAAGAAGCGGATGGCCCGAAAAACACCTCCTTGCAATTATCAAATGGACTTCGTACCCTTCGAGGTTGCGTGATGCTCTCTGTTTTTCGGTTAGGTTAATGTGTGTGAAATGACTTTATTGGTTTTTCAGGTGGTCTGGCCCGGGTAACTGATGTCCTCGCCTCATGCCACGGTCTATTATGGACACATGTGGCCCGGATGCCGGCGGTGGGCGTTTAGGGGAGTTAAGTGCGACTTAGATGGGATAATAACCCGGGCATTTCCTGCTGCCACAAACGGGGGCTGGACAATTAAGCAGAACACAGTTTGGTCAAGTTGATCGATAATACCAGACACTAAAATAACTACTCTGTAGGGAAATAAAACGGCCTTTATGGCTCTATTATCCATCAAGGCTGTTATCAATTATCCGAGTTAATTGAAGTTGATCTTAGTTGGTTTTAGCAAGAAACAAGGATGAAGTTGGTTCTAAATATAGTGATATTAGAATAAGCTGGATAACCTCTTGGGAAATAAAATTGTATTAATAAATGGGAAAATACCTGGAAAAGGTAAGCTTAACATTTTGGGTTATTAACCTTTTTATCTGAGAACCTTCACCTTTCAAGCTATTCGAATTCTTCCGAAAATAAATATTATGCTACCTCTAAATCGAACGCATTCCCTCGTTTTCGTTATAATGTATTTGTTTGAAATGAGATAAGCTCAGATATTTTGTTAGCTCGAAACATTTTATCTCAACGGGAGTAATTTAAAAAGGCCCAGGCCCCACCCAAGTTAATTGGGGCACAATGTCCACACAAGTTAGTAGTATGTTTGCGTATATTTATGACATTTGTATCTTTTTATACCCTTGTTTATGCGACACATCTGCCCCGCCGCATACCCGGCAGCTACCTTTCACAACTTATCGTGCGTCTGTCAACTTTCGCAGAACGCTTCCTGTGAAATACGTAAATCCTTATTCACTCCAATGACTAAGAGGCATTTCTTTTCTCGCCCCAGGGCGAACGAACTGAGCAATAAATATAAATAGAGAATTTTCACATCGGGCAAATACACAAACAACACATCCGAAGCCCACACGCACCTCGAGGTGAATTAATCAACAACTCCGGAGCTGCGTCCCGGAGTAATTCCCTAATGCAATACATTTCCGCCGGGCTGCGGGCTGCTATTTGCTATCTGGTATCTACTATCTGGAAAAGCCATGCATATACATCGGCACCAACATGATTTTTATCTGCGAGTCGATAGCATAAATATGACGGCTGGACAGGAAAAATAAAGGGGGCGAGTGCAATTGCAGTGCGCACCTCATTGAACTTTTCAGACAAACACAATTTGTCCGATAAGGAAGAAAAAAAAGCGTCTACACGACACCCGCTAAAGGGGGCGGCCAGCTAAAGGGGGCGGGGCGGTCGAACGGTGCGCGCACTAATGGCCACCATTAATAATTGAAAAACTGAAACAGTCGAGCATGTGAGCAACTGAAGGATGATGGCGCTACGTGGGGGGTGAGGGTTGAGGTGCGGAGTGCGGGATGGGAGGTAGGCGAGAGGTTGGGAGGTGGGCAAGAGGTTGGGTCGCCAGTTTTAGGGGTTGGGGTGACAAAAATCTATAACCAAAAAAGTTATGAATAAGCGAACAAGGGAACGAGTCGAGAGCAACGACAGCGAGTCCGGTGCACAGAGAAAAAACGCTTTCATATCGCCCATTATGTTATAGATAAGATAATTTTAAATAATGCAATACAAACTTTATAAAACTTAGTTAAAGAATGTTTCTGCTCTAATTTGGGGTCTTTATTTGGGAAAATACTTTCCAACGGTAAAATGGGATTTGATTTTAACTAAAAATAACACTGATTTTTATTTAAAGTATACAATGTTGGAGACGGACTCCAGTTACGTTTTAAAATGTTAACTCATATTTTCAACATTTTGTTTGAAAAGTTTACAAAATTTTTTTAATAGCAGTGCAGAATAAAGTTTTACTTCGTTATCATAATCACAAACAAGACAGATTGTTTTAAACCAAACTGAAAAAATCAATATTGTTCTTTATTCACTCGCCCCAACTTGAAAGACCAAAAGCCAATGGATCTAAGGAATAACCAAATTTTTGCTGTGTACAAACCTGTTCTCTGCCTTCGTTGTTGTTGTTGTTGGGGCTGCTGCAGATGGAGTTTTTGTTGCAGTTGTATTTGTAGTTGTAGTTCATGGCTAGCTGATGAAGCTGCGGCGCTGCAGCGGCGCTGACGTCGACGTCGCGACGACAATGTTGGAGCTGCTGCTTCTTCTTCTTCTTCTTCTTGTGCTGGAGCCGTTCTCCTGGTTTTACCCGTTATTCTTGTTGTCTTGGAGGAAAATGCAGCAACAGAGGAAATCGCGTGCAAAGCGCAGCCAACCAGCATTGGAAAATGCAAGAATCGTAGCCCGTTTTCGGTTTTCTTTTCTTTTCTTTTTTGGGAGTTTCTGCAAATGTCTCAGTGATTTTTCGTTGAATTTTCCGCTGCAGGGCAGCAGAAAGAGCACGAAGCGAACCGAATCTGAGACTGAAACTGCGATGGTCGTGCAGACGGAGGGGGGTGCTAAAATATTGGAGCAAGGTGTTTCCAAACACACAGCTGCGGCGAAATCGATCAATTCGCCGCAGATCTCTGCGCAAAAGCAAGGCGGCGAAGAGAGGAGAGTGGCGCTACATTCGCATGATTGTTGTTTTTGCCACTGGCTGCTCCACCACCATTTGCACGGTTCAAATGCGTCTGTGTCGAGGTTGGGGATCCCTCTCTTGCTCTCTGCCTCCCCTTAAGTCGCCTCGTCTCTCTGTCCCTCTCACTCTCTGTGTCAATCGAATTAAAACGAATGCTCTTCGGCGAATAATTGGGGTTTAGATACTTTTCCAGTAGACAAAGTCGTGTTTTTTGCACTTTTTATTGATATTAATTAAAACTAAATTAAGCGAATCACACACGAAGCACACACTTTAAGCGGTTTTTAAGCTGTACACCAACACAGTTTTTCTCCTTGCAGTTTAATCCTTCGATTTTCCCTCAAGTCGCTAGACAATTGGCATTTCGAACCGATTTTCACTTGGCTCTTTGTTTTATTGAATTTTCACGGAGACGCTCTCACACGCAGAGAGACCTTGCTTCTGCTGCAATACACACCACCGACGAGCCAGGGGAAATAGTATCTATGGGCTGTGTATCTACGCGGCGCGCGCGATACGTCCGCTCGGTTCGGATTTTCGTGGGAGAATACATCTTTTTCGCTGTCGGTTGCTCTCGACTAGGGTTGTGAAAATATTCAAAAAAATATCGTAACGGCGATATATCGCTTAAACACAAATTTTATCGATATATTTATTAATTAATATTTTAGATAACCAATAAACGTTTACCCCAGACAATTATAACTCATTAAAAAATCAACTTTATCCACGAAAATCTAATCGTAAGATTTACTAGCTTCATTTTTAGTTTAGAAACATACTGTATGACTTGGCATTGCCAGCAGAGAGAATTTAAAAATTCATATGGCGCAAATATTTTCATTCAAATTAAAAACAATATTAAGACCACAAAAATCATTTCTTTCTTTAAATATATATATTCTATAAAAAAGAATAACTTATGAAATATTGTCTGTTTGCTGAGGTTTATTTTTAAATTACTGCTCCAACGGTTAATAAATTAATTTCATTTTAACCGACAAACGACCTTTAATTTGTTTAATTAAGTTTGTTTGTTATTTTAGTTTAATGTTTATTATTACCTGCCAAAAAAACCTTATATGAATATGTTTAATTATTTTTTTTTATTATTTCTGTTTAATATTTCCTGTTAAGCACATTTCCTGTTGTCAACACAACTTCAAAGCTTAAATTGCTATATACAGACCAAAGATAGTCCTGTCTATCTTCACACAATGAAATACAACATAAAAAAATTTAGTTTTTGCAAATTTTCCCGAAGGTTATGTTTTTTATTTGCACTGTCGGAAAGCTAATGAATGCGTGCAATAGCAGATTAATATGCCGCACTTAAGGAATTTATGAGACACATTTCAAGTGGCTCGAAAGCTGAATCAGCTCGCTTGTTATTCCACACTTCTCGTTCTTTGCTCGGAAACCGATTTGTATAAACAGACCCACAAAGTTTACTCAAGAAATTAGCAGGCCGTCATTGTTGGCGGTATCAATTTACGAACTGGCCATGCAACAGAAACAACAAAGGGTTGTTGACATAAACGTTCATTGACATACTGGGAATCAATAACGAAAGACTCTGTTTATAAAAAACTTCATCAGTGTCCATGTTAAATTCCAATTTAACGTTTACTCGAGCACTGCACATTGGTATTACAAATCAGTTCATGAAATTCATATTTTAATTTTAAATTTGTATCTGCAGTTTACAGATAACGTCACTCCCTAATGTTCAAATTCAGAAGCTGTATGTACTTACGCTTATATAAAATGAAAATATTTCTACCTACCTTATGGAAGTCCTTCCCCAAACCTGAAAAGGACACTTGAAAGGTCTTAACATAAGTGATTGGTTCTTGCTTACTTATTTAAAAGATTTAAAAATAATTGTATAGCCACTAAAATGGATATGCTTTAAGTTAAACATAGGATTAGAAAGGTACATTAAATTATTTCTAAAACGGAATGGCTTAATTGTTTAGTTGCTAGTGTCCAATTGCCTTAGACTTAAGGCTTGAAGTGAGTGGCTTTTCCCTGATGTCCGACTTCGGCTGGTTAAGAGAATCGTGGTTGTGTTGTTGGTTCTTAATGATCAGTTCTCCAGTTACTGAGCATGTGATTACTCGAGCAGGACATCGCATATACCGATTCCTGGCACAAAGCCAATAGGTCTTCGAACCACGAGAATTATTCCGATAATAAGAAAAGCCTCCCATTTGGAGTTTGGGTTTCCCCTTGGTGCCCTTGACAATCGTGATTCCTCTCTTGCGAATGATATCTGGAATAAATAAGCAGGGGTTTGTTTATTAGTAAAGTTATCAAAAGGTCGAGGAAATTACTTATCTATGATTTTCTACACTCAAGTTTTTAGGTTTCTTTATTTTGTTGAACTAGTTATTGTTGTTTCGCAACTAATTCGATTTGTATCTAATAAACACAAATAAATAGTTAAAAGTTTTTTAATCTTTTTTACAACATTATTAAGCTCATCTGAAAAAGTTTAGATAAACATGAAAAGGGAAAATAAAATCATAGTTAACACATGTATTGATTTATTTAACAAATGAAGTTCTCTTGGGTCACAGATGGGAGTGCTTTGCGTATTTCAGTCGGTACACCTCCTGACCATTCTTGAGGACATGGGTGGTGGCCCTGACCTTGCAGTTGGAGCTTCGGTAGCGGGCACATCGCCAGTTAATGCTGCTTTTCAACTTGCGATCCATCACAAACTCGTGCTTGTCAATGACCAGTTTACGTTTCTTTTTGCGGGTGGAACTAAAATTGGCCAAATGTGCAGCTCCTGAAAGGAAAACCAAACTGTATTAGTGATAGGAACAATAAAATACTTAGAGCTACACTAGAAAATAAAAATATTTAGTTAAAATAAAGTATGGTTTAAGTAAACTGGAATTTATTTTTTGTACATAAGCTTTTCCTTAACTAACTATAATTACGAATGTGGAGATGAAATTATAAAATACTGTAGTGTCAAGAAGTAATATCATCCGAGAAAGAAAAAGATAAATTCGAGACTATATATTCTCTATGCACATGTCTGGTTTGTAGGTTTCCAGTAAATTACTATAAATTAATTAATAAAAATAAATTATATGAAATATGACTTATTACAAAATTACTCTGAATTGTCTATGGATTATTTATTTTCAGTAGTTCACCATCCTAAATTATTCAACAGCCAGGAGCTTAATGGACTGCCTACGTCCTTGGCCACATGGTTCATGGTTGTGCGTGCTCGAGTGCACAATCTTCCCCTTGAGCGTGTGGACTCGACCATGGCATCTGATTTGGGTGGTGTACTGAGTGCATCGCCAGTATGTCTTGCCATGGACGCACTTCTCGCGGACGTAGGAGAACTTCTCGTGAAGCAACAAGACGCGTCCCTTTTGACTAACGCCGTAGGCAAAGATATCATCTAAAAAATACAAAAGTAATTAAGTAGTTAGTAAATATAAATTACGTTTGTACATTACATATGATGGGGAATGAAAGAATATTTAGGATGTTTATGATCCCAATTCGTTTGGCCTAGTAATGAATTTTGTTTGCCTTTTTTATTCTGAATGAATAATAATCTTTTTATACACCTAATGCTAAGTATACGGTCTCTACTCATCGTGAGTGAGGTCTTGCAGCTCCTCCTCGTGGAGATCGAAGTTGACGCTGCCGGTGCCCTCCATCTCGCAGTCCACTTTCCCGGACGCTTGGTACTTGGTGGAACTGTACTTGTTCCTCTTCAGCTCGGCGTGCATGTGCTCCGCCTTGTTGATGATGAACTTGGGCGGCGCCTCTTTCAACATGGTGATGCGGGCGGGGCACTTGAGCTTCTTAGTGGCCATCGAGCTGCAGCGCCACAGGATCTTCTTCTTGTTCTCGCTCATGATTAGAAAGCGAATTCCGTTGGCCATAATGGCGGGGCGACCGCGCAGCGATTGCGTGAAGTACACCAGCACGTCCTCCGGATTGGGCACCTCATCGTTGGCCAGCACAACTGCAAGAAAGCAAGATGGGATTAGATATGGTCGAATGTGTTGGAAAGAAGAGGTATGCATTCAAGAAATTCGACAACTATGTTGGTTCCTCATAGATTTCTTCTCGTTTTATTAACATGCTTTGAGACAGACTCTTAAATTACATATCGAATAGGTGCGCCATGCTTTGCGGCAGACTCCGCACGTTGGACACCACCGGAGTCCTCATCCTGGGACCCGCTCCCGCCCCAGCCTTCTCCTTGCGCTTCGGCCGCATGTGGCAATGGTCGTGGATTTGGCGAAAATCGTTGCTGTTCGTCTTGCTCATGCAGATGAGCACCGGGCATTTGGTGTGGCGGTAGTACCAATGGCAGCGCCAGTACAGATTCGTGCGGTTTATGTTGTTCCGGAAGAACTTCATCCCGTCCAGCCAAAGGAGCTGTCCACCGCGCTTGGAAATGGAGAACTGGATCTGCGGATTATTGCCGCGATACTGCCCATGTCCGTAGTCAAGTTCTGAAAGAATACCAAATAACAGCGGAATTAATGTAGTTTCTAAATAAGTCTTTTAAATAGATGAAGCCAAAAGGTTCAGGAGAATACTTAGGGTATTGAAAAACATTTGAAGTTGCTTTGCTTTAATACACAAATTATACACACTTATGGACTAGGTGGTAATGAGTATCTAATCGAGCCTAGAAATCTCTGCTTCTGAGCTTCGATTTAATTTCGAGGAGCGGCGGTGGTTCCCGGTTAGTGGGGATTGGGCGGGGTTCGAGATCCGGAACCGGAGCAGATTCACCATCCATCTCCGTCTCATGTTCCGCTTGAGCCTCATCCTCGGCAGCCTCTTGTGACTTAGTTTCGCTGCCTGGCAGCGGTTTGATCTCGATGTCATTGCTCTCGGTGTGCTGGTGCTGGTGGCAGAGTCGCAGGATGAGAGTGGACTCGTCGTGAATCGCGATGGCGGGGCAGCGCTCTTTGTAGTAGTTGCGGCACTTCCAGTACTGCAAATGACCGCGCTTCTTGTTGCGGAAGAAGCGAAAGCCGTTGATCACCAGCAACTTGCCACCGTTCTTTTTGGAGTCCGCAAAGTCGATGTGGAAAGCTGTAGATAAGAGAAAAGGATCCTGATTAGTATGAGAATGATTTGAATACTTCTACGTCTGCAGCGTAGCCTTATCCTTATTATGGAAAAAGATGGAGTTCGGCATCGAGTCGAGTCGAGTTTTCAAACAGTATGATTTATTCAAAAGTGGATATTGAAATGTCTGGACGCTTAGTTATCACTTAAATGTAATCCTACGGCGATTCCATCGAGAGACTCTTCTTTTCCCTTTTCATGAGGACGGGCATGTTGACGTTGTTGGGAAACTTCCGGCTGTGGTCGTGCTCGTAGGTGCATTTTATGATGCGGGCCTCGTTGTTTCTGTCCAGAGCAGTGACAACGCGGGCTCTGCACACAGTGACATCCTGTTGAGAAGTCAGGAAAATATATTTGTACATTGGAAAGCCGCACAAAGGAAAAGTTCGTAAAAGTTCATAAATGTTCTGAGATAAATCAAGTTTTACTTTTTTAAGATAGACTAAACATTGTAATGAATTTGAGAGCAAAAAATACTATAATGCTTTTTTCATTATTATTCAATTTTCTGACATCGTATTATTAGTATGTATTGACTAGTTTCTGCTATAGGCAATTGAATCTGTTTTCATACAACCAAAAATTTGATCAACTTTTTAAGTTCAGTTATCATAAAAGAAAACCTATTATAACGTTTACTTTCTTCGAAAAAAGAAAATATTATAGCCAGAACTGCTTGAAATTATAAATGATTGATTTAATACGAAAACTAATATTAGTATTTAAAACTACAACAAAAATGTATTGCCAAAGTGGAATTAAATAGCAAAATCTAGCAAAATATTCATTAAATTCAACGTTTACTTTCACATTTTATAACATTACATAAATGCATCAGAATTAGCAAACAACTACTTTTACTTACCTTTCTGGAGCAGATCCAATAAGTTCGAGAGGCGGAGCATCGATTTTTTACAAACTTCTCATTCTGGAACAGCAGAACGGTCCTTCCCCGCTGTCCGGTGCCGAAAACAGCAAGCTCTGGAAGAATTGTACAAATAATTATATGTAGTGGGGAAACTATGGACTCAATAATTGCTCTAGGTAAATACTTGTGGATAATTACTAATCTAGCTTTTAAACAAAAGAGTGTATGTTTATTGGTTATAGAGATAATGTATGTGGGGCTACAAATGGTTGTGTACGCCCGAAATGGCGACATTGGTGGGCTTGTTTTTGTGGGTGATCATGTAAACGTTGCAGTTCATCCGCTTTTTGGCACAGGCCCAGTAAATGTTGTCATCGTAGTTGGCTCGTCGTTGATAGCGTTCTCCATCGTAATGCAAAATGTCGCCGCTGCTGGTTCGCTCGTACCGGATGCGATCCCAGTCATCCAGAGTGCGAACGCACTGCTGCTCGGGCGCCAGTCCACAGCGAATCCTTTGCGGCTGGTTACCCCGAGTTTTGGGCAGGAAGCTTTCGTTTCCGTAGTCAGCCAGGATACTGGAACTGCGCTCAACTAGATCTGCAATGGATAAAATAAATGTTTCGCAGTTAGTAAGAGCATTTGAAAAGTAACTTAATTAGTTAAACAAGAAAAATAATACAACCAAATTTTAAAATAATAACGAATGATATATAAAAACACAGGTGCAGATTGAAGAGATGTTATTTATATTTAAAGAAGTAAACGAAAAGCAATAGTCAGCCATGCACCAAAGCAATACGTAGGGTCTATAAAAATAAATACAAAATATAAGACAGATTAGTTTTGAATGAATTCGTTGAAACACTCACCTGATCTTAGTGGAACTTAGTTTGCATCCTAATCTGGAAACTATTTACATTAAATTGATCATATTTTAATAGTCTTTTGACATTGGCTTAAGCTTGATTTATATATTTATATAATATTTCTTATTCGCATGGTTGTTCCTATATATATCTATGTGACTGAATGCTTTGTTGGTCTAAGGGTGATTGTGCACTCCACTGACGGCGTAGCGGGATTGACCATTGGGCAAGATGTGGGTGATGACGCGGGAGCGGCACTGCTTCCGCCACTTGCTGCACTTCCAGTAGACCTTGTCCTTGTAGGATGCGTTGCGCAGATATCGATGCTCGCCGCAGTGCAGCACACCATTTCCTGCCGCTGTTCGAACGTAATGCACATCCTCCGTGTTTTTGGCGAAACGAACTCGCTTTACTATCGGACTTTGATCGGATTTCGTGAGCGGTACAGTTATCACATTGTAGGTCACTAGAAAAAAATCAAAAACATACAAAGTTAGTGCAAAGTTACTCAATTCAAAGGTAAATAACAAACATTAACTTGAAAGTAGTTTAAAACCTTTTGCTTAGTATGAGAAAAAGTTTATTATAATTTAACATTTAAGTAGTCTACTCGTAAAACGCAAGTTATGGCTAGATTGAGTCTTGATTCACTGCAAGTTCTGCAGGTCTTCGATGCTTAAGTTGAGCGTCCGCAGCTCCAGCGTGAGATCCTCGTCCTCTGCCTTTATAAAACCTGAGGAAAGTGTCTTCCCCGATTTGTTGCGGCCCTTTCCAATGGCGCTGGTCACCGACAGCCGCTTTTTCCGCTCTGTGTTGAGGCAGGTGTGATGACAGGACTCCAGCACGATCTTGTGAACGCCTTCCACGACATTGGTCACCACTCGAGCGTTGCACTTTGTGCTGCCCTAAAATAGATAACAAAAAGTATTTTTTTATTCTATTTTAACAAACAAAAATTGATTTATGGTGTTTTGGGGATTTGTGGCAGATATTACAGACAAATATATTTATATATATTATATGTTGTATATATTGTAAGGCAATTGGGAACCACAATTTAAAATACGCACCTTTTTCGAGCATATCCAGTAAGTCTTCAGGTTGCTGCGACGATTTCTCACGTAGTTGTGGCCATTAAACGCCAACAGCTTGCATCCCCGCTGCCCTCTTATAAAAGTCAAAAGACTATGCTTGATGGCGCCCTTCATGTCGTCCAGTTCGCTGCACTCTGAAAGATTTCAAAATATCTCTTATTAGGGTTCATGGCTAAATGGTAGAGTGTTCAGACTACGGGTAGTGCATGAATACCATAAAATACAGTTTCGATTTTTCAGATATATATTCTACAATAAATAGTCATAAATTGATTCTATACAATTGTCAGCCAGAGTTGGCTGGATTCTATGGCTGCTTAATAGGGCGGATGGTTGTGTTGGCCGCACTTGATGGTCACATCGTGGTCTTGCACGGTGACCACCCGAGCCTTGCACTTGTGAGCCCCCGCTCGCGCGCAGGACCAATATGTTTTCGATCCTGTGGCCTTGTTTCGGGTGAAGGTGAACTCCCCGATCTTCAGTTTTCGGCTCCCTCGGAAGCCTGTGATGTACGAGTAATACGCAATGGGATCTGTGAATAAAGGCAGATATGTTGGATTAGTTCAAAAAGATTGGGCAAAAAAGAGATCTAATTCTACTTGGCAAAGAGACGCAGGGGAAACAATATGCTTAGCTAACTTTAACTTTATTGAGTCAGGCCAAATCGATGTGATGCTATAATGTACAACTGGACTTAAGACTAGAGAGCTAGTTCGCTGCCGCCGGCGTTGAAGTGGCTGGGTTTTCCAAAGAGTCCTGCCGCTGTTCCGCCCGAGCCGCCGCCTCTGCTTCCGCCCGCTGGCGCTTCAGGGAGCCGTACTTTCGCGCCTTAGTTATGACCTCGTGGTTGTGTTCGCTGTTCAGGATGGTCAAGGTGTCCAGCTTGGTTTTAAGCCGCGCACGACACCGCAAAACGGCAAACTAAAAGGAAAACCAAGTTATGTACCTATGCTGAAGATGTTTTTATTAATCCCAGGGACCGGATATAATTGGTTTAAAAAGATTGCGAGATTTTAATGATTAGGATTAAATATATGAAAGAAGCTGAGATAAGAGACAAATCAATTCATTCTTTAAGTAATGTAAGTAAAAAGACCAAAACAACTTTAGATTTGAATAACCAATCAAGTGAGGGCAACAATTTTAAACATGGCTAAAAGTTTAAGTTCTAGCTTGATAAATTTATTTTAAGGAAACCAGAAAATTCTCATAAACCATAGAAATTGACATAGCTTTATTTTGTTTTATTAGGGATACACAAATCCTGCGATCGATCTAGTAATTAAAATTGTCCCTGGGCAACCTACTCACCTGGCTGCAGCGCCAGTAGGTGACCTCGTCCCGGCAGATGTGTCTGTTGAAGGTGTGCTGCTTGAGCATGATCTGCTTGGTGCCATACTTGCTGACTATGAAGAATGGCGAGTTGCTGTTGACGACTCCGGCGGTGGTGGCGTTGGCCAACTGCATGGTGGCCTCGCCCACATCCACGCTGACCTGGTATTCGAATTTGACTATAATAAAGGAAGATAACAATAGGGATCCTGGGTTAGTTGTGCGTGCTGACTGGATTATGGCGAAAGGGACTCAGATGAGTAAATAAAACACTTGGGATTGCTTTCATGGTTTTCGGTATATTGTACATTGTGGTTTCAGACTACGACTACATACACATCCTAAGCCCTACTAGCACTGCGGGCAGTGCTTGGCGTGATCATGATGCCTGGTGAGCTTGGGCCGCCGGCTCAGCTCCACGAGGATGTAGTAGGTCGGACAGTTCCTGGTCACGCAATGAAAGTAGGTTCGGTATTGCATGGCGCGGGTTTTCTTGTAGGACTTTCCGCTAACCATCAGGAATTCACCATTCGCGGTGCGCTTCAGCCGGACTCCCTCCTTCTGGTCTTTCGCTGAAGTAGATGAAGGATGGTTTCATGGTGAGATGGAAGGTGACACGTGAGGGATGCGCTTAATCCAACTATTACATGCAACTAAATTGTCTACAAACATCAATGTTTTGTGTTTTTCTTTTCTTTCTTTAATATTGCGGAAAAAAGGCTTCCTTGGGCATCAGTTTGGCTGGCACATTGCCGCCCAAAAATCGAGGCGGATGGTTGTGGGCGTTCTTCCCGAGCTTGATGCCGCCATCAAACTTGGTAATGGCTCTCGCAGAGCATTTGTTTTCGTTCAGCCTTTTGCCATTGCCATCGGAACAGATCCAGTTGACCGTGGCCCGGAAACTGGCCTCCTTCTTGTACATGTATCCATTGAATACCAGGTTGAAGCCCTGTTTCTGGTTCCTTAGGAAGAAGTATTCGTGCTTATCGATCCACAGCCCACGCGGAATGTCCCCGATGAACTGACCTGCAATGGAGGGCCAAGTTACTGACTTTAATATCCAAATAACTTGGTACCTAAATATAACCCAGAGAAAAACACATGGATTTGTTGGGGTGCTGAGTAAACCATTTATTGCAGGAAATTTCCAATACAGTCTACTATTTATAGCCACTATATATATCGCTGGTGCGAGGTTTATCTCTGTGTTTAATAGGGCGTTTTTTATTTTTACGCTTACTATCAAATGTTTCAGGCCAAAACAGTTTGGCGACAAGTTAACTTACCTGGCTTACGGACCACATAGCGATTTAGTTAAGAAACTTGTAGGCACCCTTGCTCAGATATCATCAATGACATCAAACCCTTTAATTTTAGTAATTTTTTAATTTTAGTGCCTTTTTTGGCACTTTTTTTGAGGGATTCCTTTTTGAGACACCCAGCAACAACAATGATGCCAGTTTGCTGTACACACACATACGCACAACCGCACAAACACACAACTTAACTCGCGGCATGTTCCTAGGACAATTTCCAGATTTCTCACTACTCACGTCACTTGCTTTTATAAATTTATGCACATTAAAACCACTGCACATTGTGCACACAATTGACAATTTATTTGGCAAACAATTTGTTTGCGAAAAAGCCGTTTCCAAAAACAATTGAAGCGAACACGGCGAAAAAAGTGAGAACAACTACAACAAAGATGGCGTGCGAGCTACAGCACAGAAGGTGCTGTTAAGAGTTATCGGTAATCGGCTGTTATTGGCCTGCTTTTGAATCTCAACGGACTTTTTATAACATAAGACAACACATACAAACTGTATTTATTTTAGTTTTTAGATTTAGTATTTAGATTTAGTTTTAAATTAAAGTCTATCAATGTTTAGTTTACTAGTTATTTCAAATACATAATGAAAAATGTCTATGATTTAAAAACCACCGTTCACCTTCTACCATTAATTTGCCAGATTCAAAAAAACGGGCTTTAGCCAGATTTGTGTGGTATCACTAAATTAATGATTTTCAAGTAAAAACAAAAGCACGGCAAAAAAATTTACAAAAAAAAAGATAAAAAACTTTCAGTGAATTTAAGTAAAATGATTTTTAAGTTGCAGTAAATTAGATAACAGAAAAATGTAAAATTGATTCATAATTTGAAAGATTTCAAATAAATCCAACCTTTAAAAAGGTCAGGTCAGCAACTCAATCGTAAACTATGTTTAATGGCGAAGATTTAAGTTTTATAAATCCAAAACCTTTTTATTAAAATTCTATTTTGGCCTGCACTTAAGAAAGAAAATATTCTTTACACCTGCAATCAATCGATATATCGATATGGCACTGATAAGTTTGCCCAGCTCTAAAGTACAGTGCTCTTCTTCTTTAAACCGTGTTTTTTCTGCATAAAATATTACATTTTTAATTTTAGTTAATTTTTCCTGCTTGTAAACCAATAAAATAAACAAGATATCAGCAAACGCCCCTCCTCAGTTGTTTTATTTTCGTTTTCTCGCCCGAAAGGCCCATTCTTACCCAGATGTTCTAACCTGTTGCGTTTTTGATTTCTCCAATTTAACAGCCGCCACATCCGCATCGGCATCTCGCGGAGTTCCACCACGTAAACGCGGCAGACCCAAGACCAAAGTCGAAGATCTGACTCCCAAGCCCAAGCTCCTGGACAAACTGCATGCGGCGACCTTGAACGAGGAGGCCAGCGAACCGGCGGTTTACGCGTCCACTACCAAGGGTAAGTCAAAACCTGGAAAGAGTCCTGTTCTCCAAGCTTATTCTTTGTGTACCCCGCAGGCGGAGTCAAGCTTATTTTCAATGGCCACCTTTTTAAGTTCTCGTTCCGCAAGGCTGACTACTCGGTGTTCCAGTGTTGCTATCGAGAGCACGGTGACGAGTGCAAGGTGCGGGTGGTGTGCGACCAGAAAAGAGTCTTTCCCTATGACGGCGAGCATGTCCACTTCATGCAAGCCAGTGACAAGAGCTGCCTGCCCTCGCAGTTCATGCCGGGCGACTCAGGCGCCATAGCTTCGCTGACGCCCAACAAGGACACCAAGGTGGAGCAGCTAATAAAGAATACCACTAAGCTGGAGGAAGAAGAGACTAAGGACGAGGAGGAATTTGAGGAGTTTGAGATTCAGGAAATCGACGAGATCGAGCTGGAAGAACCGCCGGCAGAAAAGTCGCCCACAAAGGAGGAGGAAGTTGATCCCAACGATTTCCGCGAAAAGATCAAGCGACGCCTGCAGAAGGCCTTGCAAAACAAAAAGAAGTGACCAAGAATTGTTTTTTCCACCAGAAATGGCACAAAACGTGCTAAAAGTTTAAAGTTTTATTTTTCCAAAATTCACTTGACAAGGAGACTCAAGTGAATCCCAATAATATTTGCGAAAAGATGCAGCACGTGAAGTGACACTGAATATGCCTTAGAGCTTCATATAATCTACTTTCTATATTCACTTGGGTTTTAAATACCCCTACTAAGTACTAAATAATTAAGTTTTGCGTAATAAAACGATGTCCAAAATCTGACTTTTAAGTAAACCTTTTATATAGCACGTAAGCTCCACCCTGTAATTTCGTGTTTTTAAAAATATTCAATTGATAAATAACCCAAGCTCTTTCCTGTTTTTCAGTTACACAACACGTTCGAAACTGTGGTCCGCAGATGTTCCTGATCAGCCGGAAGGGCGGCACTCTACTGACAATCAACAATTTTGTATACCGATCCAATCTTAAGTTCTTCGGCAAGAGCAATAACATTCTGTATTGGGAGTGTGTCCAAAACCGATCAGTCAAGTGCCGAAGCCGCTTAAAAACCATCGGCGATGATCTCTATGTCACCAATGGTTTGTCCAACTAATATTTTTTGTATAAAACAAAACAAATAATAGCCTTAATTCACACCCACAGATGTCCACAATCACATGGGCGACAACAAACGTATTGAGGAAGCCAAGGCGGCAGGGATGCTGATCCACAAAAAGCTGAGTTCCCTTACACCCGCAGATAAAATGCAGGGCTCCTGGAAAGCGGAGACAGAGGCCAATCCAGACCCGCTGCTGATGTAAATACTTCTTAGACATTCCCACCCTAACGTCCGAGTTCTATTAGGGCTTAGCTAATGCATTCTACTATTATTTATAAGGCAAAATATCTTTCTAAACTAGGTTGAGTGCCAAACCTAGTTAGAATGGGTAAGTAGCCTGTCCATCTTGGGATCTCAAAATACGAGTTTAAAGATGCTGATGAGTCCCGGGTCATATACTTTATTCTTTTCTCAGTGCTTAGACGCTTTTGGCCACGGCAATGACTTAAGCAATGGCTTGTGTTACGTACAAACTATAAACTTTTAATAAAAATCAGATGAACACTTAATATGGTTACCAATTATATTATCTCACGTTGCAAGTTAAACGAGTTTTTCCGTAAAGTTGTTGTTTATTTTGTGCACTAAGAATAGGTAATCTTAAAGATGATCTTAAATTCTTTTAAAAAGATTTATAAATTACTTTAAACTTTTTATCTGCAGGCATTGTTTCTCGTAAGGTGCTTCAAACTTGTATATCTCAGTAATGCAAAAGTGTGTGTATAATTACGTTTATATTAAGCGCCCAAGTAATTTTAAGTTTAACAGCATCATATTCGATTTTGATTTGATGGTTTTGATCTTTTCAAGAATACCTAACTTAATTTTTGGTTAAATGTTGTGCTTGTTTTCCCAAATGATTGGATAACAATTATAGAGTTGAATTTTTTGCTTTGCTTGTGAAGTTTTATATACTAAATGTTCTAAAATTTTGAGATCGCATGCAGACTTCAAAACCCTTTAACTTAAACTTCTCCAAGATTTTTTAATCGGTTGGAGTCCAAGGCAGCTTAAGACTGTCCAACTTGGTCCTGACATTCTTATGGTTGTGAGAGGAGCAAGTGCTTCGGTATTTAACCTCCGAGCCCACCATGAATGTCGAAGCTCGAGCTTTGCACCCCTTGTGGTGGTACATGCATCGCCAGGATCCAATGAGGTTATCCTTTCCCAATATACGATGAACGATAAAATGTTCGTTGGCTATGATTAACTTTGGACGCCTATGTGCAGCCAGATTAAACTCTGCAGGTCCGTCGTATTGCATGGCCTTCTTGGAGTAGCGACGACGACCTGAAAATAAATATCAGATAGTATAAGGTCAGAAAAATATATTGATTACAGGCACAATAATTAGTTTTAAAATGGAGCTAACGTTAAAAACAGTGTGCAAGATTTTTTATTATCATTTATTTTGCTTTGTCTTGTAAAATACTTAAATTTATCAGGACTTATACCACGATACACTAAGCTTAGTTCAGGTGGGATTTGAAGAATGTTGTCTTTGGACCATTATAAGCTTAATCTCACTAGCTACCATTTACCCAAAAGGGTGAACATCTTAAAAAGATATCAACAACTTGTGATGCTACTCAATATTTTGTTGATGTCTGAATAATATGGCACTGGACAAAATTTTCGATTGTGTAAAATCTTGTCTTCTTAAGCCAACATTGTTATCCTGAAGGTTTGAAAAACATTGCTCGATATAATATTACAGATAGGGTTTCTAATGCAGAATGGCTTACAATTGCTCAAAGACTTCTCCTTTGCACACGACAAATCGCTCACCATATTGTAGGTACTCTACATTGACATTAGATTAAACATTATTCAAAACCACAGGCATTGGTGAGCCCACACCGGATGGGGCTAGTAATCCTTGCTGATAAACACCGTCCCATGCGTCTGGTGCTGCTGCATCAGCGCCATCATTTGTGGCGTCTGCACGTGGGGCAGGGAGAGGGGCATCGCCAGCGACATGGAGACGGGAACAGGTACTGTCACCGGCATGGCCAGGTGGGTGGGAGCGGTGGCATAGGTCGGCGTCGGTATCTGCGTCACCTGCGTCATCATCTCAACCGTGGGTGTCGTCGAGGTGACCACTGGGCTCGGTATGGGTGGTGGATTTTTCGATGGTGGTGGCACAGTGCCATTGGCCTTGGCCTGGCAGTACAGCTGACACAGTGGCAACAGTTCCTTGTGGCGCCTTTTGATATGACTGAGAAAGTTACCCGTCGACTTGGTGGTACCGGAAATCATTCCGAAGCAGGTCGTACAGGTTGCCTGGATGGCGCCGGGTGTCTTTTGATTAGGCTGGATGTTCTTGTAGAACCTACCGTCCAATATCTTGGGCAGTGTAAAGGGTTTTCGGAATGATTCATCGTCGCTCAAATAGGTGACGGCCAAGGCGGCCACAGCAGCATCCGTCGGTAGAGCAGGTGTCGGAGACGGCTCCATTTTGATCTCAACTAAAAAGAATACAGAAATCAAACTTTAGTATTAGGTTTTCAGATGACTTAAAGCTAGACTAGGTACAAAACGAACACGCATAACTACATATTTTATAAACATTTAGTATAATTTATTTAGATTAAGCTAGGCCTCTAGTCTAGAACGTAAAATAGAATATCTGCTAGTCGAGTAGAGCCTACTGCAGCTCTGGAAACTCGTCCAGCAAGTCAGCCGTAATGTCCATGGAGTTGACCTCCGGACCGTGGGTGTGCGGAGCCCCAGCAATGCGCAGTGTGACATCTTGCAGTTTAGAGGTCACTAGAGTGGCCCGGCAACTGTGCTTCACGTACCGCGAGCACCTCCAGAAGACGTTCTTCAGGCTCTGTCGATTCACCACGTACCGATAGCCCTCGTAGACCAGCATCACCCTGCCGCGTTGCGTTGTGGTGTATTGGATGCTGGTTGTCTTGTCTTCGAATAGAGCCTTTAGGGATTGGATGACACCTGAAATGGGAGATGAAGGAGGTGTACAGACATTAGTGGGGGTTATTTTGGAAGCTTTAACTGAGGTGACCAAGCTACGCACAAGAGGATGGAGGAAAAATTCTGTTACTGGTATTTATTTCAGTTTACAAACGCAACAAACAATTTAAACTATTCTCTCGGCTTCACCATCATTACTTTGCGTGTGGACAGTTTGTGGTCGATGAACTCCTGGACTGCTGATGGGGTTAACTGGTCCCCGCGTATGGCAAACACTTTGCACACGTGGGCTGCAAAGATGAGATGAAATTCATGTAAGAACAACGGCTTGGCACTAAATGAATTGCGTTCTATGTACTTATGATATCCTGGAGCAGCTCGTTGTCTGTGGCCTCCTTACCCTGGGCGATGCGGGCCAACTTCTCCTTGCCAATCACTAGATCCGTGACCCGAGAAGTATATATAGCCGGCATGGGGATATAGGCCCTGGCGAGAGCGGACTTCGACACAAAGACGCTACTGCCGTCAAATAAGGGAACAGCATCTGCATCTCTGGGGGCTTTTTCCAAACAATCAGTTGATGTTATCTTGGCATTTTCCACAGGCTCCGAGTTTTCAGCCGCAGTTTTCGGAACTTCTGCAAAACACATAATAACAAAAACAATTAAGACACTTTATTTCGAGAGTCAGGAAACATAAACAAAATAAAACACAGTTCATGCGGTTCTTATCGAGAGACTTTATTTCAGTTTATTTAATAAGCAAAAGCGTACACTTTCAGCACAAGTCAAGCGGGCAGAGAGCTAGAACAGAAATCCATGTTATTTGTCACATTCATTACACAATTTCTCTGAATAAAACGCTAATTATTTATTTCAGCACGCCCACGAGTCACAGAAATTAAAGAAATGGCAGCAGCCAGGGTTGCACTGAACGTACAGTAGGGCTTCAGTCAAGGAAAAATAGGTACACCCGGAATAAATTCTTACTATTGGACTTAAAAAACAATGTTAATAACCAAAAATCAAATACTCAAGACAAAGGTTGATCATATTAGATTTTTGTTTTGTATATTTTACATATCGGATTTGTTAAAGTTATAGTTTGTATTTCTCTCTTGCCAGCAGCTACTGTATTAATAGTACTGCAGCCCTGGTTGGCTTTGTCAGGTCCGGCAACTCTGAAAATATGTCGCCACAGTTGTGAAAAAATAGAAGTAATTTTTGCAAATTGTTGTAAAATTATTAAACAAAATGTGAAACCAAAGTGTTAAGTGACACGAAATAAACGTTAAGTGTTCGCGTAATTCCGCTGTCAATTGAAATTTTCCTGCTCAGCGAAGGGCGCTCAAGTTTCGTGTGATGATGCTGAAAAAAAATAGCGACGCCTTCATAAATTCCAAAAAAAATATTGTGTACAAATGTTCAAAAAGTGTAATTGCCATGCGACAGCAATGTCGTGTAATGTTAATAAAGTAAAGAAAGTAAAGCGGAGCAGGCATATTATTTGGCGGAACATATTGGGCATTTGAGTTGTCAGAGCGCTCTAATCAATACCCGTTCCCCCACTCCAACTTCTGTCTTGCAGAACTGGAGGACGACTTCAAGGTGCAGCTTCCGCTCCTGGTGGCTAAGAAAAAAAGGCGGGCAGCTCTCGCAAGCAGAACTACGACCACCTAGAGGTGAGCTTCACCAGGAGCAACCGAGGCAACAACTTGCTGACCATCGATGGAAAACCCTTCACCCTCAACCGCCGGATTAAGGATGTCTGCTACTGGGAGTGCGTCAAGCTGCGCTGCAAGTACATTAAGTGCTCCGCCCGCGTAGTGACCAAGTCCAACAGGATCTCGGCCCTGCGCGGACTCCACAACCACCCATAAAATACGAATTATTAGTTTAATAAAGATGTTTCCGTTGAGCAAATAGTCGTATCCCACCTCTCCGGCCTTTGTAGTTTCTGTAGAGTCCCTTAGCAGAGCTCAGGCCTTTTTACTAATCTCATCTAACCCTTGCAGCTTGCTATCAACTGGTGGTCAATCGCCGAGGCGGCAAGAATCTGATTTACAAGGGGCACATGTACTCCGTGGAGCGGAAGAACCGAAACAGCATCAATTGGGTGTGTTCCAAGAACAGCAACCTTGCGCTCCGCTGCCCGGCGAGATGTGTCACCAATCAAAAAAGTACCACTGAAATTAAGCTAAGCGACCGACACCACAACCATCCGACGGACTGCTATAAACTGCACAAGCGTCCAAGTCGAAAGGGGTACAGCAAACGAAGGAGCAGCTCAATCCAGAATTACCAGCAGGAACAGCTGTCGCACATCACAAAATCCGAACTTGCCAATTGTTAGTCTAAGCTAAATAGTTAAATAGATAAACATTGTCACCATACTTTTGCATTGGGTGAATGGGAAGCTCTATTCGCTATCATAATTAAGACATTACTACTTCTTAGCATTCATTCTAACACCTAAAACTCATCAAGCACTTAGATTATACCTTAACCGATGATATTTCCTTAACAGGTCGAAATGTCCATAGACAGCCCGGATTTAGGATCATCAATGGCTATCGCTTCGTGATCGGTACTTCGAATCAGCGTCGGACCTACTTGAAGTGCGCCAACTTCCGCAGCAACTGCCGGGCACGGGCCATCGTGAATAAGGACACAAACCAAGTGCGGATGCGACATGAGGGACACAATCGCAGCTGCAAAGACTCAGTGGGCAGACGTAGCGCTAAGAAGTAGCAGGTATCCATCTGTCTTGTGAAATAAACAATCTGTTTCAGTTAAAAAATGTTTGCCTGCTTTTCACTTTACAATGAACCTTAATGCAATTACATTTTAACCATTATATGGAATACTCCGATCACGAACTAACCAAGTTTGCTAATCTTTTTCAGACAGTTCAAAATTAGCCCAGTATGTGCGCTCAAATCGAGGTACCGATCTCGTTTACCATGAAGGAAACACCTACACACCCAATGAAAAGTTGAGGGAAGGTCAAAAAAGTCGGGACTGGAAGTGTTCCATGTATCACAAGGCCAAGTGTCGAGCTCGCCTCGTTACCCGTATCACAAGCTGCGGGGATATTATCCACGTGACCAGCAACATGCACACGCATCCCACAATGTACACCGCGCAGAAAGCGGACACTCGCTCCGATGTTCAGAAACTTAGTCTTGAGAGAAATCCGCTCTGCGTTAACACCCGATCGAATAAAACCGAGACCAAGTAAAGTCTGCCGACTGACTAGAATTAACCTGAATGATATGAGCAGATCTCTGTACTACTATCTTTATCTTTTAGGTACAGTACAAAGTGTTAAATCATATTTACCATAAGCTAGTTTTAAAACATACATGCTATTGTATAAAAAACAATTTTGAGGCATTAGAGAGTGTACGACCGAGATTGTAATTTGTGTTATTAGTAGTTGTTTAGACGGAAAAGTTAAGAGTACAAGAAAATAATTGTAAGTTAGTAAAGATTTTCCTATAACGAGTTCTATTTTATTTTTATTTTATTTTTTAAGTTGTCAAATTAGATAATTATTACCAGACTTAACATTTTGAATTCCGCAATCGCTGTCATTTCTAATTTATTTCCTTTACTTTTTACAGACCTTCTTTTGGCTTGGAAGAAACTGCCAGTGGAGTCCATGTACAATTCGCACGGTAGGCTAATGGAAATGTTACCGAACATCCGGATAATCCGGGGTCAGCGAAAGTCCTTGCAACTGATGTATAATAAGTTTGCCTACGCCAGGAACAGCAAGCGCGGAAATACGATATACTGGAAGTGCCGTAGCCGGCGCAACGGAAAAGTTCCGTGCAACGCTCGATTGTCTATCACAAAGCGTCCGAGCGGACTGTTTAAGGTTTGTCTGTCCCAGCCGCAACACAATCACCCTCCCTCCAAACGCCTATGTAAACAGTATTGTTAGATTCTAAGCTTAACCAAATATAAACGCGCCATGATTTGGCGAAAAGCACAAAACCCGACTCTGACTGTAGCTTTAGAGAACAAAAGAAAAAAGAAATATAAAATGTACTAATCACAATGTGTACCCTCTCCGTCCACAGAAAGCAGCGTGGCCATCTACTCGGCCACTTCCCGCGGAAGAATGCAACTGATTTACGGAGGCCAGCCTTTCATCTTTGAGAAGACGCTGAAACTATCATCGGGGGAGGAGAAGCGCTTTTGGCGTTGCAACCAGTGGTGGAACCAGAAGTGTCGCTCCCGGGTCTTTACCATCAACGATGTCGTCTTTCCGCTCAACCGATTCCACACGCACGAGGAGATTGTGCGGCGCAAGAAGCGCGTGCGTCGAGTGCCTCCGGTGGAGACGATTGCCAAGGTGGTCACCACAGTCGCCAGGGAGCAACAGCAGCAGCAGGCCCAGCCGCAAGAGATTCAGCTGACCAGCGACGCCATGCTGACCAACGCGCTGGAGGATGAGTCCCCCGCCACGATTGATGTCAGCGAACTGGGCATGCACCTGAAGTACGAGGAGATCGTAGCGGATGTCACCGGCATTGTGGGAGCCACGCGAGTGGTTAGCCGGAGGAAGTGAGGCCCGACCTTTCAGTAGCATGGATTCATTTATCGTTTGACGAAATGTCGCATGGTCAGATTTTACTAAATAGAAAATTCAATGCATTATCTCTTCGTACTTGCCAATTCGGTAACAAAATATACATAGTTTTGTTTAAATTAAACCGGGCTACTTACAGTTATTAGCCAATACACAATATTTTAGTTATTATTTAAGAAAATACTTTAACTAAATTTATTCCTTTTGGAAACATTTTCCAAGCTCGTTTGATTTCCTTTTGAGATACCACTATAATTTGAATTGTTTCTGCTATTGTTTCTAGAAATCGACTTATCTTACTCTATGCGTAAATATTACTATTTATATGTGTTTTAGGAGACGGAGAAGCTAAGTAAGCAATTAAGATTCAGCTTATAAATACTTAATTGATTGTAAATTTAATAAACGTAAACGTGCAGTTGCCTCGATGTAGTTCACTTCGCTTTTTCAGATCCCATTCGAGAATTCGTTCATCCTGATTTCCGCTTTACTAACCCACCGGCTCATATATTTCTTGTATTTTCAGGTGACACTCCTCAGTTTTACTTTACGAAGGGTCAGCGGGAGTCTATCAAGCTGAACTACGGCGGTCATAGTTACGTAAAGTTCATGGAGAATGGCCGCGGGACCAAGTGGATCTGTGCCACACGCTCCTCCACCAAGTGCCGTGCCCGCATCCGCACCACCAAGAACAACCACCTGGAGGTGCTCCATGCTCCCCACAATCATGACCTTGCCCGGCAGAAAAAGGAGCGGGGCCGCCAAAGTCAAAGACTAAAATCCGAAAAGAAATTGGAAGCATAATTGACAACGGAATCCAATACCGAGAATTAGGTCCTGTATAAAAGTTTTTTTTTTAAACTTTACAGGTTGGTTTGTCTGATCTTTTCATGGTAAAGAATGATCTAGTTCTTTAATCTGCTATCTTTTTAAGTAAACTTCCTACTACTGATACACCTTAGTTTTGGTTAAATATATTTTTAAAAAATATAACAACACTTAAAACCTACATTTGATCCCTTTTTTTACTATCAAGGCAAGTAGTAGCAAAATAGTATAGGTTTATTCTCTGTATTGTGGACTTCAGGCAACTTACACAATATCTTAATATCAGCAAAAAATTAAAAGTAATACGTGAGAATAACTAAATAGGAAAAAAATTAGAAATTAAACAAATTGAAGTTTCTTTAATGAAACTGACTTTTACTCGCTTATAAAGTTTATGTGAATATGATGATGAATGGGAAACCATGAGGTAAGTCGCCCCTGAAAATAAAATTGTATTAATGTTCAAAGTAATTGCATATTTTTATTATTTGTGTAGTTCCACGAAGCATTGCTCGCACATCCAGTTGCTGCCAGGACATGTGTCGCAAAGTGTATTGATCCTGAGAAGACCGACTCGGTTCCTTTTGAGGCAGTTCACACACTTCCCCTTCAGCCGAGGCAGGCCCACAAATACAAAATTGTGCTGATTGGCGGAAGTGCAGATGATGTTGTCTGGGTTCTTTAAATTTACTTTTTGCACAGGTTGCACTTTGATCATTTCATCAGAAATCTTGCGGACTGTCGAAATACGTTTTTCAGCTTGCTTCTCATACACGGTTCGAATTGGTCGCATAAGTCGTACAGTTCTGACACCTGTAAGGAAAATCAAAGTTGGTTAATAAACAGCTCAGAATACCAAACACAAAACAATACAGTCTAAAAAATATTTAAATTAAAAAACTGGTTGGAATTAATACAGGTGATTTAACGTTTATTTAATGAATAAGTTTGTTTGGTGGTCCCCAATGATTTATTGGTTCAGGTTGCGTTGTGATTTTATCTAAAAGAAAAGATTCTTTTAGTTTAAAATAGATAAAATCAATTGAAACCATTTTATTTAATACTCACATTTTTATATTCCTCTTACAGCTAGCATGATTGTCAGTTTATCACTCTAGGAATAAATGTTTTTAGCCGTTCGGGTGGCTTATGATTGTGGAATCCTCGTATCGATTTGATTGATTTTACGTGGGTGGTCAGAGCACAGGTGCAGTGTAACTTTTTGTACATGCTGCAACGCCAGAAGGCCAGCAATTTCTTTGGGTTCCTGGTGTGGCAGCTAAAGGTGAACCCCTCGTGGACCAGTTTTCCTCGGTCATCATAGGTGAGCACTGAAATGAAGAGGGTTTAAGTTAGTTTATGCCCACGAAAATTGCACTTACTATTTGAGAATTGTATTGGGAACAGATCAGACGAAGCAGCTCAGATAGGATGAGTTCAGATCTTTATTTCACTAGATCATTAATTCGTGTAAAAATTGGTTCTATATGGTTTTGGAAAAAATTAACTTAAAAATACCTTCTTCATAGGTAACTTGTTGGTTAAACTTAAATTACATGTATATTCACAATCTTCTTCATTTAAATTCAAAGTAAACTTATTTCATTTCATTTCCTTGCTATCATATATCAATACCTTTGTACAATTCAAGATGCACACCCAGTAGTTGGGGGAACAAAAATAAAAAATAAAACAAAATTATCTCCATAGATATGTACTTTCCAGTGCTGTTACTTGGTAACTAAATTCAACTGCCGGGGCCAGATAGACTGTCCGGTCCGACGGTTTGTCTATTCGTGCATGAGCATCATGGAGGCGTGCATCAGTTCGTGGTCCGTCAGTTGCATGGTGGCCGCATCGCTGCCCAATTGGTGCTCGTCAGCAAAGTCCTGCTTCTGCTGGATCTGCTGCTGTATGAAACTATGAGACCTTGAGATCTTCCTTCCGGTGCTAACGGATGCCATTTTATTCCGCTGTACGATCTTGTCGATCTTCTCCGTATGCGGTTGGTGGTTATGAAGACCTCCCGTCACGCTCTTCAGCCGCCCGTTTTCCAGGACGCATCGAGATCGGCAGCGCATTTCGTGCACCTTTTTGGAGTAGTTGTGACAGCGCCAATACTGCTTGTTGCTCTTTCGACTATGGCAGTTGTACATATAGCCATTCAGCACCAGACACGGCGTCGACCAAGGACTCTCTATGAACACCAGCTCGTTACCATCTGCAAGAGACAATTTTAAATTAGTTTAAAATTCAGATTTGAAAGGTATTAATGATGAAGAAAACTTCTTCAAGTATGCGCCATCCTTTTGTTTTGTATTAATTTATTAAAGGATTAAATGCGAATTATGTTTACAGAAGTCAGAAAATAGGCTTAAAGTACTTTTGAATGGGTGGACCGATCTCTTTGATAGAGCATACCTTAACTAAAATCACGTTTGAAAGAATATATATACGAATATATAAAAATTGCACACAAGGGTGATTATCATGATTCTACTCAAATATTTACAAACATTAATATGAAATAGATTTAATGCTGGTAGCCTTCTGGATTTTGAGATAAAAAAAGTTGACAGTGGTTTTAGACAATAGCGACTACAGTTTGCCCGGATACTTTTTATTCTAAAGTAAAAATACTCCATCTCTCGAATAAATACTTGAAGTTTTGAAGCTCACCAAAAAAACCGGCCCATTCCATAAATTGAGACTAATACGAGCTTATGGTGCTAAATGACAACTACTAAAGGTGCTTAATCTTGAGCAGGGATCTTCGTTTGGCTTCCTCTGCCTGCCACCTGGCCTCCCGTTCCCGATCCCTCTGCTGAGACCGCTGTTCCTCGGCCTTGACCTGCAGTTCTTCCTCCTCCTCGGCGGCGTCCACTAAGGCCTGCATCTCGATTTCAGTAGCCTCGGCGGCGGGCAGAAACAGCTTGCAGTCCTTGCCATCCTTGGCGGTCACAATGATGTTGCTGCTGCCTAGATACTGCGATATCTTAGGGTTCGACGTGCAGATCTCAATGTACTCCTCCAGTTCCTGCTCCACCTTATAGAGCTGCCGCTGGCCAATCCTCGAGGCGTGCGACTCGTGGTTATGCTGCCGCCGAGCATCAATGAAGTTTCCATCACGAGTGATGACCACCGCCTTACAGCGCAGCTTAAGGACGTCGGCACAGCGCCATGTCGTCTGTCCATTGGCCTGTGTGAGCTTCTTGTTGTAGATGTAGTCCCGGTACACCAGCTGGGCGTTCTTCTTCTGGCTTCGAATGAATCTGATCTCCGACTCTGTAAGCGTCACGAGAAAAACGGAAAACAAAGAGGGACAAGAAGGCGGGGAAGTTTATTTAGGGCGCATAGTATTTCCAATGTCTAATACCTAATCTAGTAAATAGGGCTTAAGCGCTAAGCTAGGATCGGCGAAATAAAACAACATTTAGTTCAGAATTTGGCTTTAAGCAGTTTATTGGCAGACAGCGAACCGAGGAACCCGTGAATGTTGGCGTAATACTTACAGAAAGCAGTAATATAGCATTTTAAAATTTATAGAAGCACTATTCTTCAGGTTTTACAACGCCTGGGTTTCAAATAGGAATTATCACAAAACACAAGGGTGGAAAACACCTGGAACTGCAAACACGGCATTGGGGTACAGTTATATTTCTCATAGCTTGTACTTTTTTTAATAACACCACTCTACACATTAACACAGAGAAAATAATCAATTTAAGGAAAAGCAACTTTGTAATATGTCCACAATAATTTAACAAAACAAATTTACATAGCTTGGTTTCTAAATAATTTTTCATGTAGTTGCCACTCTTTTCGAATTTTAGGGCTGCATTTACTATTTGGGCTACCGGTAAGTGGCAACGCCGGCATTCAATAATATAAAAAAAAAAAAAGTTTCAGGTTTAATAAAACATTTCTATATTGTTTCAACATTTTTTATTTTTAACTTCATAAGCACATTAAAAATCGAATTTTAATAATAAATGCCATAATAAGGATCTGATAACAAGTATACATAGTAAATAGCAGGGAACTACTTTCTTACGAAACACTTCCATCCTTTAAATATTTAAAAACAGCAATTTTAAACAATTAACTATAAAATTTATAAACTATAACGGCTTACTGTGCTAACTGGATTTCCAAAAATCGTAATGCAATTCCTCTTATACAAAAAAAAAATTAAATTATCAAAACCAAGATTTAAATTGGCAACTTGCTCAAACGATTCAAAAATGAAAATTCTAAAAACTACGTTGGATCTTTGATTATGACCAGAATGACCCCAAAATTGGACAGCCCAATATTACGACTGCATCGACAAATTCCGATATACTAAATAAAATTTGAAGAAATCCGCAAATATAAAATCCAAAGGTACTAAATTCAAGACCTTTAAAAGCCGCCACCTTCAAAACGATAGAAATGTAACTAATTGAGCCCTTTAAATCGCAGTTTTGGAAAATTACGTTACAGCAAAACAAATAAAAAAAAAAATTGAAGAGCATGTACATTACACCCCTTTACGTAAATACACTGGAAGTCCCTCCGCAATAAGCAAGTTTGTACATTAAAGACTCGGCAATAAATGCCGTTGTTAGAAAAGTATTGGCAAGCTTTTACGTTGCCTCAACAATTCTTAACAACATCTTGAAAATAAAAGGGAACCCCAAAAATCGCTGACCACACAAATAATTCAAACATTAACCGAGAATTATTATCCAAACAAATATGCGCCTGCCTAAATAATAACGCTCCGTCAACATTTGATTTCTTTCTAAAACGGCACGCTGTTTCTCGAAAAAAATATTGCCTGAAACTTGGTAAAATACAAAAAAATGTGTTCTACGACTACAGGTATTACCTTCAGTAACTGCAGATCCTCCTGGTGCTTCAGAGTGTCGCTTCAACGCCAGTTTCGTCTTGACACGTTCATAAAAATTCAACACTCTACTTACCTTTAAACTAAGTTTTTAGAATATCGCGTGATCCTTATCCTCAGCATGCGAGTAATATGCTTCGGACAGTCGATCTGCCTGATGTTCTTTAGCGTTTTAAAATAGAACACAGGGGGCTTAACTAGCTATAACCTAAGTGCCAGTTAAGTATAGCTTAAATTTGCATTAAATCAAATTTAAACGCACTTAAGCCGGCTTAAAGGGGCGAGATCCGCTTGCAAAATATGATTTCAAAGCCAATTCATGATTGATAAAAACTTTAAAATGCTTTTAGCATGTGTGCATTTTGCAAGCGCTTAATCTGGCCCTTTTCTAAATACTTATGACTAGTGGCAGTTTGCCTTCGTTAAAGTGGGAATTCAACCAACCTTGAGCCTCGGTGTTGCCCTGATCCGCGCTGGTGTCAACAAACGTAGAGTCACTGTAGCTCTGAGACTGCTTGACAACTGCCTTGGACGTGGTGGCGGTCACTCCGCCGCCGCCGCTCGTATTAGCCGTCGTCTGGTTGCCCGCATCCTCGTTCTCCGTGAAGTAACTGTCGTCGTAGCGCATGTCTCCGTAGGTATCGTCCTCTACATAGGTGCCCTCGCCGTCACCGGCGGCATCGCCATGGTCTTCCGAGTAGTCAGGTTCCGATTTCGTGGGCAATTCCATGGGGAGATCAATGTACTCGGCTTCCTCCTGTTGCTGCTGCTGGCGGACCTGCTGCTGCGTCTGGTGGAGCTTGGTTTCTGCCGCGGAGACCACAGCGGTTTGTACAGTGATCTGTTGCGGCACCAGTTGGGTAGTTGTCGTGGTTCCAGTTTCCGTGGCCGAGTCAAGAGGGTCCATCACATTGGCGGAGGTGCTCGTCTTAGAGCGTTTTACGCCGCTGGAGGAGGAGGCGGATGTCAGGGAGGAGCGCTGGGCGGAGCGTTTGTTTGTCGACACCAGCGTCGCCGTCGTCGTGGTTCCCGTCTGCAGCTGTTGCTGCGTCTGGATCTGCTGCGTCGCCTGCTGCTGCGGCTGCTGCTGTTGTACAATGGTGGCTTGTGGTGCGGCTGTGGTCTGGATAACGATTTGGGTGGTGCCCTTGTTGTCGTCGCCCAAACCGTCCTCCACGGTTTCGATCTTGTAGCGGGCGGAGGCGCGCGGCTGCTGGCGCTGCACCCGCTGGGCCGGTAATTGCTGCTGTTGTACATGAGGTGCTGCTGGCGGCGGACTGGGCTCCTGCGGCGGCTGCTGAGCAGGATCGTTCTGAAAGAGGATATTTTAACAATTAATTAGAATGGATATTAAAACAGAAATCTGTGTGTGTAATCTTTGTGCTTTGGATACAACTGTAGTAAAAGAATGGCGGCAATCTTCCTTTAGGCTTGACTGACTAATCATGAACAAAAGGCTCGGTTATCTTTTAAATTAATATTATGTTTTACACTGAGTTTTTTTTTAAAATTGTTGCCATACTTTTTAATATAAGAAAATTATATTTTATTTACCAACGTTAAATCATAAAATAAAAAAATAATTTTAGCTAGTATGTCTTTGAGTTGTTAAAGTTTTAATTTAGCAGTTGTATACAAGTTATACACATTTTAATATGTTTTAATATAGAAAACTTTTACTTTTTAAAATACAAATTCAAAAGTAAGCTTGTGTTTTTTTCTACTAAATGTAAATCACCTTTTTTATAAATTGATTTCAAATAGAAACGAAAATGAAGTTTAGAATAATATAGATAATAATTTTAAAAGCTGTTTGTTCCCAGCTGCTTTTTTTTCCCCTAGATTCAATTTAATGTTTATACTTTGGCATCGAATTCGCTGCGAAACAAAAACAACCACCCAGTTACCCATCTGGCCAGAGCGAGACAATTGCAGCAACGCATACACACACTGCAGTTGTCCCGCTCTAACACGCATGCCTTTTGGCATTTGGCTCGCGAGCAATTCCTCGGTACAGTCAAACCATGCTCTTATACAGACGCTTGTATGTATGTATTGGGCGCGAAAGGCAAAGCTTGTTGTTGTTTTTGTCCCCCCCGATTCGATATACCAGTATGTTGTGTGTATATGTACTCACATCCGTTAGCCCCTTGATTTGCAGCGACTCCGCGGTGCTAATAAACGCGGGCAGGGCATCCTGCTTCACGTTGACCTCGCCGCAGTACATGAATTGGATCAGGTCCTTCAGCGCCGAGTGGCTAACGTTGTTCAGGAATACTGGGGGGAGGAAAGGGGGAAACATAAGTAAAATAATCCCCATATTGAGGGGGAAAAACTTACCGATTGCGTGGGTGTTTGACGGCATCTGGGTGAACATCTTGCGGAAGAAGGGCGAGCAGACGGATAACACCAGCCGGTGGGCCTTCACTATGTGGCCCTCGGCGGCCAGGGAGACATCCACCAGATCGCCGCGACATAGCGACTCGTGGAAGCCCGCCGACAAATTCGTGTTGAAGTTGTTCCAGCACAAGCTGAATTGCTCGTCGTCCGCCATCTTGGACGAAAATCAATACTTTTCTGTATCTATGCGTTGCGGCTGCAGACGAAAAAGTGCATTGCACGTTTGTTAGAGAATGTTTTACCAGAGCAGAAAACTAAAACATTGTTTACAACCGACTGGCAAAAAGTAGCGCACAAAAAAAATGCAACGCAGCCAAAAAAACAGGGAAATTTTCACGCGTCTTTACACATACAAATGTGTGTGTGCGTGTGAAATAAGTGGCTTTTATTTCAGCAACGTTCCGCAAACGAAATTATAATTACTAATGCAAGTACTCACCTTTGCGTTAAATATTTTTGAACGAAACCACTATTCAAGACTAAGTTGAAATTAGATCTAATTCACTTGCGGACAACTCGCAAAGTACGTCCGTAAAGTTTTTTTCACAAAATTAGAATGACCGTATTAGAGCTGGAGGCTGTCAAAAAAGCGATATTGGTACTATCGATGGTTTGACTTTGGTTACCACTATCGATGTTGCCTCGATACTATCGGTGGTAAATCCAATACTTATTTCTGATTCAGGCTGAGAAAATTTGGTAAATGCGGAAAATGCAATATGGTTTTGTCATTATCATAGATTTTGTGTCGTTCCAAAAGTATTATTTATTTTATGATGCACAGCAGTTCGAACAAAAAGTAATTCAGATGAAATAAAAAAAGATTTTATTATGGACCCATACATTTCACACAAATACGATAAAAATGTCCATTCGCATTGTTTATTAATAAATGCAAAACAGCTTTCCAGTTAATACATTTCGTGTTGTTATATCGAAGTACCCATACTTATTAGAGGAATATCCATAGTTTTGAATTTCATAGCTTTTATTAGAGCTGCAATAGTAAAACAATAGTATCGATATATATTTCCAGCGACCTGATAGGTGCCCGCGGTCGCGTAACATCCTTATACTTTAGCAAATATATCAACCACAGTTAGCAGCAGCAAACTCCATCGCCGATCAAATTTAATGAGCTGGATTTTTAAATTTGTCGTTTTGTTTCAAATTGGTTGTCTGGCCGCCGATGTTGTTTCACATTTTACTGCTTTGCAAATGTTACCCGTCTTAGGAAACATACATATTTGTTAATAGATTTTATCTATTTAAGCTTTGCATTTTTGTTTATTTATAAATTTCTTAAAAATGAGATTTCTTTATTTGAGGTCGATTTAATCGATTTTTTACCAAAAGAATTGACTTTTAATTCTTAAAAATAAAATCAATCGGTTGCAGTTGTACCGTCCGTAAAAAGGGTCAAACCTGTAGGCCCTTATAATGTTACAGAGGAAGGACTGATTTGTAGTTTAGTTAAACTTCTTAAAACTCCTGCATTTAACATTATTTATTTATTATTTATTATTTATTATACATATTTGCACGATTGATTTTTTTTTAATCTTGTTGCGTTTTTCGTTCCTACATTCTTGTTTAAGCTTCGGTTAAGGTAGGACCTTCGGACTTTAAATTGCTCAGAAGCATAATTCTTATCTAAGCCATTTTAGCCATCAGCTCTGTTTCAGCCAATTGATGTATACAGTTTTGCGAGCTTTCTTTATTTATAAATAAGAAAAATATGTACAAACTCTTTCTAAAAAAACTCAAAATACCATAGAGCTTAAAACCCCATCACTTATTTTCAAGATATGCACAGTATATTAATTTATTGGCATACATTTAAACATTGGTATATTGATAATTAATTTGTATGGGTATTACCCATTTCGAAAAAATTCCCGATATTCGATTTGAACCCTTAATTTATTTGCTTAGTACACTCATTAAATCAAGTGTGCGAAAATCTGCACTTGAGCGCCACTTGAGATACAGTTTATACACAAAACGCGCGAACCAACATGCATGGATAGGGACAATAAAACTTAAGGACTTTACAATAATAAATACTGATACTCAAGCTCAAGTAGCGAAACAAAATCTGCATAAAGTGGCTGCGAACAAACAACTAATAACAACCGGGAGCAGGCAGGGGAATTCGTGACGTTGCAAGTGGATGCGGAGGATTGTATCTGACGAATATGCTGGTAAATCTGTATATGCTTGCTTACAGATATACATACAAACATATATAAAATGATAGCAAGAAGGGGAAGGATAGTCTTGGAGATGGACCCTACTAAATCACCATATACAAACGGTTAATTCTTCCCTTTTTGTTTTTGTATGATACTTTTCTATTTCTTAAGTAATTTGTGAAAAATTTTCATTGTAAATGAAAAAAATTAATTAAAATTATATTTTCTTTATTTTTTTTTAATTTTCGGCATTTAATAAGCACTTTTAATTAAAACGCGCACATCTCTAACCGAAAAGAGAAAATAAACAAAGAGAGCGAGGTACTCTGCATTCCGATGCTACGCTGTGATTGGCTTCGTGGCGGCCATTTTGCTGCTAACGGTACTCGTGTGTGTGGCACACCCACACACTGGCATCAGCACAGCAGAATTAGGTGGCCCGGGGTGAAAGAAGTACTCGTTCAGTACCAAAACCGAGCTGACAAATTGCAGACACGGTCGAGTGCGCATCGGAACGGCACTTTTGGAATCGGGAACGGTTACGATTACGGGTAACGGATTACCACTCAGTTCGCCTACGGCTGTGGGGGTGTACTCCACCACCTACTTGATTCCCCGGCTACCGCGATACCCACCACTCAAGTGTCGCAAGTTCAAGTGCGATTTGGCAAATTGTTGTATTTATTTAAATTCAAAGTGCTTCTCAAGTGGCCAAGTGATCGCGCGCGAGGATGTTGCAGCACCATCAGCAGCAGGCTCAATCGGGTGGCTACTACGACTACAATCAGTCCCCCAGTCCGGGGAGCTTGACGAACGCCGATGCCCTGAACACCACTCCGTTTTCGGTCAAGGATATTCTGAACATGGTCAATCAAACGGAGGCCTACGAAAGTGGCTACGGACACCTCGATAGGTAAGCTTTGAAGGAACAAATTGGGTGATTTATTTTATGTTGGAAACACTTTACTAAACTGAATGTCGATAATTTTGCGATCAAAACTTCTGATGAAATTTAAAATGAAAACTTCTGAAAACACAAATTCGTGGTAGTTTTGTTTTATCTTGACTAATATATATAGGTCCGCAAGTTCACAACTTAACTACACAACATTTATATAAAATATGTATACTCCAAATTTTTTACGATTAGGATTAGAACATGAAGTTAGTTTCAGGAAATCGTCAGTCATTTTAATTGAAATGAATAGAATTTTACAGGATTCAAATGAGAACAATGTTATACCTATATTTATTTCTTTATTAACTATTATATTTTAAAAATCGTTTGGCTTAAAAAGCAGTATATGAGATAAAAAGGCAAAGGATAACCCCGGACCAACTGTTATTTAACTAATATTTACCTATTACCCAGCATTTTCCTGGATATCTTTGCCACTTCTACCTGTCAGTGAGTTCGTCTCGAAGACAGCGCTCTTCCCGTTCCCAGTCGCACTTTATTTATTTATATTTAATAGGGCTCCATACGAGAATTAATTTCTACCAATTTTCCAACGAAAGATAATATTTTGATAACCTTCCGTCGAGACGTAGCAGAAGAAATCCTATGAAAACACATAGAAAGCATGAATTGCAAATAGGATTTGGGAAGGGAGAGCCTCGACTTCGAGGCTTTGACAAATCATCGTTATTTGTACAAGAGGCCGAAGACAAAGATGAGAGGACACAGTGTTAACAATAAGAACAACAAGGTCCGAGGCAGGCAGTCCGACATCCAGAGAGTCCGGCAGTCAGAGGTGGTCGATCCCTGTTTGGGCTGGCCAACATGTGTGATTCGCATGTGTGTCCGCCGCGCAGGGGCGTCCTTAATTCCCTGATGAGGCATGAAATGATGTCACCAAGGATCCCGTCGCGCCAGCAGGAAGTGGGCAAAAGTCTCCGGTCCGGGGAGCCGCTGTGTCCGCTGTGTCCGCCGTGATGCAACACATGGCGGCCATGTAGACGACTTTTTGACCCGAGTCTAACCTTTCGCTTTTCCCATTTTCCGCTTTCCCGCAGTGCCGCCGCTGCCTCGGCGCTCTATGGCGCCGGCGAGTTCCAGCAGCACCTCCACCAGCATCCGCATCCGCACCAGTACCACAATCTCAGCCTGCAGCAGCAGCACCAGCAGTCCGAGTTGCCCATCGCCCAGCAGCAACTGCATCCGCAGCTCGTGGACGATGGCACCACCACGTCGTCATCCCTGTCGCCACTGTTGCCCCCGCCGCCGCACCAGCTGTATGGTGGATACCAGGACTACGGCATGCCCGCCCACATGTTCCAGCCGCATCACGGACATCCGCACCAGGGCTTCCAGCACTCCGCCTCGGCCTACAACGTCTCCGCCTCCCAGTTCTACGCCGGAGCCTCGGCCACCTCGTATCAAACGCCCGCCGCCTACAACTACAACTATCCCGGATCAGGAACCGGAACCGGAATCGGAGTGGGAGTTGGATCTGGATCCGGATCAGGGGAGGTGTACGCAGGAGCCACGCCCTCGGCATCGGCGGGCATCAAGAGCGAGTACATACCCACGCCGTACGTGACGCCCTCGCCCACCTTGGACCTCAACAGCTCCGCGGAGGTGGACAGCCTGCAGGCGCCGGCGCAGAAGCTCTGCGGGAACCCCCTCAGCCAGCGCCTCATGGAGACGGCGGGGAACTCCGTCTCCCTTAGGAGCATCCACAGTGCGGAAGACGGCGCCAAAAGAAGTGAGTACCCCACTAAACAGCGATCTTTACCTTAAGAAGAATTACATTCTGTAACCTCAATATTGAGCTAACTATAAATTACATTTACCTAAAAGATCAAAATATCTTAAACAATTTGCTAACCTGTCTTGTAGCTTCTATATAAATCTTAAAAATGTAATATTTGTTATTGGTAGATTAATGAAAGGATATTTTTTCCCTGACTAACTATTAATTTATGACTTCTTAAAAAAGGTCAAGTCTAAAGTTCATTATTCATAAGAAAAAAGGCAAAAGCACGTTGACCAATATAAAGAAAGAGGGAGAGAAAATTGAAACCCACTAGAATCTTAGAATTTTAGAATTATTAATAATTTAATGTTTCACAAATAATTTTAAACACAAGCAAGTATATGAAGTTTATTTTTCTATGTTGATATAAATATAAATATAAAATAATAAATTTACCTATTTATTTTACTCATTACTCCAATTTTGTCCTTATTTTCAGAGGACAACAGCCAGGTGACCTCCTCGCGATCGGAGCTGCGCAAAAACAGCGTGAACGGGGTCAGTAACCACGGCAGCAGCAACGGCTCCTCGAAGCCAAGGATGAAGCGAAAGCCCCGGGTTCTTTTCTCCCAGGCACAGGTCCTCGAACTGGAGTGTCGCTTCCGGCTGAAAAAGTATCTGACGGGTGCGGAGCGCGAGATCATCGCCCAGAAGCTGAATCTGTCGGCCACGCAGGTGAAGATTTGGTTCCAGAATCGGCGGTATAAATCGAAGCGGGGAGACATCGACTGCGAGGGGATTGCCAAGCACCTGAAGCTCAAATCGGAGCCACTGCACTCGCCCACATCGCTACCACCTCCGATTCCCAACCACGTGATGTGGCCCCCAACCATCCAGCAGTCCCAGCAGCATCTCGTCCAGCAGCAGCAGATCCCCCACATGCAGTAGTTCATCGGCAGGACGAAGGACCCGAGTCTCTAATTTATTAACTGCAACTTCAAGCAGAATTATGTTGTAGCCTAAGGAAAATGCCTCATAGCTCTAGTACCTTGTTTTATGTATATATTGGACAATAAATAAAGTTTAAGACACACTTTTACAAGATCGTTAATTTATTTCGATTTAATGGAATAGTAGAATAATAGAATTCTTATCTAAAATTGTGAGTTTAAAAATATCGGTGGTTGGTTTTTTTTAATACATTTTCGGTTCTTCAAAATTCCGTTTTAAAATACAAAAATTATTTTGATTTATTTCAAAAACTTTTTATTGATGATATTCACATTTTATAACTTTGTGAATGTTGTATAAAAATTTTCTCTCTTGAGAACTTTAAACAATTCAGCTTTAATTTTCCTTAGATCAATCAGATATTTTGCCTCGCTGTAAAAACTTACACCCTGGAATATCCGTGACTCCCTGGCTTGCCGCACTCGCATTTATATCTTTATGAACAGCTTTCGATCGGCCACCGATCCATTAGGCACCGCATCTGCGTATAATTGCCGCCGATCGCCGCATAAATCAATTTTATCGGAGCGGGTGATCAGTTTTATGAAAAACGAATTCGAAAACGAATGAAAACACAGCAATTTCCGTTTTAGTGCTGGAAATGTTTTCCCTGTTGTCTGCTTTTCGCAGGGAATCCACGGAAGGGGGAAAAGGGGGAAGTGCGTCGGCGGCAGACATTACAAAGGTTGCATTTATGAAACGTTTAAGTGGCATCAATGCAACTGTAAAATGTTTTCCTGCCTCCGCAGATACAGATACAGACACTTTCGTTGAGATACGAAATGCAGGGCACAAGACGCTCCTCCTCGGCATTTTATGACAGCCATCGGGCCAAAGGCTAATATTTCATTGGGGGCTGATTCCGATGTGGTTCTGGTGGATTGGTGGTGGTGGTGGATCGGTGGTGTTGTGGCAGTGGCATATCAATTACTCCACAAACACATGCCAGGGGTCAGCGGGTGAGGGGAGGTTGCAGCCACAGACCAACAAGTGCAGCTGATCACACTTCGGCTGAGTTTCCCCATTCTGACAGACAGAGCTTCTGGGGTTAGATTTGGACTCCCTTCCCCCGGGTTAAGTGTCAATCACGGGGATCGCGGATTAGCTCAGAGGCACAAACAAAAAAAAAATTAAATGACTTAGGATATTAGAGCAACTATATCAAAGAGGGGTTATCATAAGGTATTCTTTAAAAGTCCTAATCATTACGAACAGTGTCTGATTTGCATCAGCAAGCTCCTTAATACCTTAGCAACTTGTAACGCATACCAATTGTAAATTTCAATTAACTAACACCTAATCACTAAAAAATACAATATTTGTTTATTTATTTTCAACTAACTAGCACCTACAGACAAACAATATTTCATTTATTTAAACGTGATTTACAAATTATTAACACTATTAAAATCAGTTTCAGGGTTTGTTGCACAAATCAAAAAATTTATTTGAATATGTATATAATCTATTCTCACTACATTCTAAGGAGATATGCAAATTAGAAAATGTCAACAAGTACCAAAATGTTGTTGTTAATCTTATAATCATATTAAAAATTAAATTTCCTATTGCTTTGTTCTTGTTGGTACAGTTTGTTTATATTGTTCCAATATTACAACAAAATAAAATGTTCAGAAATTAAAGTTTTATCAAGCCATGAAAAATGAATTTAATTAAAATGAGACTTATCAGCAATTACAATTTGTTTCCTAACTAGATAGGTTTTCCCAATGGAGACTGGCAACTTGGCTCCCAGCATCCCGAGGGAGTTGTCTTTGGAGTGGCAAACAAAACGCCCCGCAGGCGGAGGATAATGCATGTCAAGTGGCACTAAACATGACCTAATGGACCACACTGACCAGCCACGCCCCCGTCGCGAAGGCGAAGGCGGAATATGAATTTGAATCCGAATCTACGACTCATAAACAATTACGGTCTCGTCTTTCAATGTCGGCGGCAATGTTGCGGCGACGTGTGCCCCTCCGTCGGATCCGAGGATCCGTAGGATCGTTCGGTCTAGGAGTCTATAGTCTATAGTCTATAGTCTAGACCGACGCAACTCTCAAGTGGGGAATTTGTCATTCCCATATATCACACAAAGGATCGGGGAGTTGGCGATAAGCCAGGATAGAGGATAGAGTTCGCCCTGTAGCGCCGTTTAATTCATGTTCCGTCAGAGGATCAAAGGCTTCCAGAGCCGCTGTCGCAGCTGTGCCCCGCTCCCCCTCTCCCACTCCCCTGCACTCCTTTCCCCACACCCACAATCACTTTTCCCGACTGCTTTCACTAGCCCCATTTGCATTTCCTCAATGCGGCAGGCCGCCAAAGCAGGCGTAAGGTAAGCAAATTAAGATTTATTAACAACAATAAATAAACAATATGAAAATGGTTACAATGGCAGCAGCACTGTCGGTGGTTCTTGGGGCTAAGACAGTTTCCCATTTCCGCAGCCTTTGAATATTGCCGCCAAATCAATTACGTAATTATACCCTGTACTTGTAATAAATTATTGGGGTATAACGAACTAGTTGTTGTTATACCGAAAAGAAGAGAGTTTTATAATTTCAGTCAGAAGATTAAAACCCATTGAAGGAGACATTTCAGATCCAGTTGAGTTTATAAATTTACAATCTCAGTCCATCTTAGATTTGTCCAGTCGTTTTAAGCTGAAGTTTTTACTGCAAGGGTATATAAGCTTCGGCTTGCCGATCTCGTTTTAAGCTTATTTATGCTAGAATGTACAAAATCTATGTGATCGATTAGGTCGACACATGTATCAAATTTAAAACTATAAATAGTATTGTTTTACATTTTCAGAATCTTTCCAGTTTAATTATCAAACGTCATAAAAAATATATAATCAGTTTATACGTTAAGTTTAAAAATAAAAACTGTAAAATCCAAACCAAAAAATTAAACACTTTCAGTCCTAAGATGCACGGAAAAAATGCTGAATATAAACAACATTTTGTGGAAGTGTTGGTTTGTATATATTTGTAGAGGTAAATAAATTTAATTTATTTAGTATAGCTTAACAAATTTAATTAAATTCGTTAATTAGATCTGACTTAAATGTGAAGGGGTATCCCATTATTCGACTCTCTCATTTGTATATATTTTCTCTTCGCCTTTCACTCTCGCTGTCACTGTTCCAGATTCGGATTCGGATTCAGATCCAATGCTGTCAAGTGGATGGCAGAGTGACTCTGGCAGAGTTCCTCCATTAAAGCCTTTGACATTTTATCGGGAAAATCCATCGGTTCGCTGTATACATTTTTATTTGATGTGCGCATAAAATTGCGATCTCGTCTTACATTTGCCCCCTCCACGCGTCCAAGTTCTGGGTGTCTCTGTTTAATATCCACTGGGTTTATGGCTTTGTGCGGCTTTCAAGTGGAAAATTGTGACAATTATATTCAAATTAATTGAGTAATTGCATTCGGAATCCGAGCAGCGGCATTTTGGAGCATTTGATTTACGGCGTGTGGAAACTGGCACTTAAGAATTTCAATCCAAATAAGCCCATAATCCCAGGGCGTTGATATTGCGTTCGAATCAATTCACTGAAAGGCGCTCGAAGTCAATGAAATTCGAGTTTCTTCCGCCGGCATTCCAACATCCTGATCTACTTCAGCACCTGTAAACAATCTCAGGCACCTTTATATTTCTGTGCATATTGCGGTTAATAATATTCTTTTAAAAGGACAAAGATGCTTCTGACTTATTATGTTGACTTAATTCTGGTATTAATATTTTTGAAAGACATAACTTAGAAGGCCGATTTAAAAAGTGTTTCATCGCATCCAGATACATTACCCTATTTTAAAAACTTTTTTAGTTACTTCCTGATATTTTCTATAATTCTATATATTTATTCTTAATAAAATGCATATATTTTCTTTTAACCTTTTAAGCAATTTTTTATTTTATTATTCTTCAAAGTGTATTTTAGACTCATCACTTCATGCAGAAAAAAATCCTTTATGTCATTTTTATCCACCGCCTTGGCCAAAATACATTTGGCAAAAAACGATAATCAATGTGTTGTAAATATAGTTTTTAAAGTATATATGTATGTACTTAGTTCCTTCCGCCGGCAATCCAGTATCCTGATCTACTTGGGCACGTGTAAACAATCTCAATGACCTATTTATTTCTGTACGTATTAAGAACATATTTAGAAAAGAGTTAAGAAAATGCTTGTGCATAAATATCATGAGTCATGACATATTGGGTTGGCAAGAAAGTCGTGTCGTTTTTTTCAATATTTTCAAAGATGATTTATTTATATCAGGACTTATAATTAATCAATTATGTATTGGCCGTTTTGTTCGACCACTAATGACCATCTTTCGGGCAACTGCATAATTCCGCGCTCGAAGAACTTTTGGTCTTTTCCAGCAAAGAATCGAGACAAGTGGTTTTTAACAGCCTCATCTGAATCAAAGTTTTTACCATTCAAAGAGTTTTGAAGAGAGCGAAACAAATGGTAATCTGAAGGTGCTAAGTCCGGACTATAAGATGGATGTGGTAGCACTTCCTAATTCAGCTCCGTTAATTTTTGCCGAGTTACCAAAGATGTGTGGGGCCTAGCGTTGTCATGGTGAAAGACTATACCCTTGCGATTAGCTAGTGCCGGTTCCTTTTCTTTAATTTTTTCCGCCAAATTGAATAGCTGGCGACAGTACACATCTGAATTGATGGTTTCATTCCGTCCCAGCAGCTCAAAGTGCACTACACCCTTCCAATTCCACCAAACAGACAGCATAACTTTCCTCTGATGGATATCGGCCTTTGATGTGGCTTGGGCTGGCTCATCTTTCTTGCTCCATGATCTTTTTCGTTGGACATTATTGTAAACAACCTACTTTTCGTCGCCAGTAATGATCCGCTTCAAAAAAGGATCGTTTTTAATCCGTTGCAGCAGAGAATAGCAGATGTTGATACGCTTAGTTAGGTGAATTTTCTTTAAGTTATGCGGAACCCAAACATCGAGCTTGCTTACGTAGCCAAGTTTCTTCAAATGGTTTTCAACCGTTGTATGCGACATACTGAGCTTCTCTGACATCTCCCGCCGGTTTTCATCCAGCAAAGCCTGAATTTGTTCGTCAAAAACGGCCGATGGTCGACCAGAATGTGGGGCGTCTTTAACTCCAAAATCTCCAAGCCTGAATTTGGCAAACCAGCGCTGACATTGGCGATCACTCATGGCATCTTTACCATACACTTCGCACAATTTTTCGCGAGCTTCGACTGCTTTTTTTCCTTTTCAGAAGTAAAAAAGCAAAATATGCCAAAAATGCTCACTTTGGTCCTCCATGTTTAATTTGCTATAGCTTCCACAAATGTTATCGAATAATTACCAAATTTTCGTCGATAGTACCTAAGACAATAAGCTTTAAAAAGATACAAAAAAGTGTGACCCTGGTGCTCGATTAGTCGTAAATAAATTAGATTAAAAACGATTACTAAAAAAAACGACACGACTTTCTTGCCAACCCAATAATTAAATTTTTAAATTAACATTTTTTAATTTTCAAGACTATAATTAAAAGGCCCATTTTAAATACAGTTTCGATGATTTTTATCTTAACCAAATACCTTCAAATTCGTTCATAATTCTAAATAATCACATAGTTTCTTTTAACATTTTAAGTAAACATTCATTTTAAAAAGAGAGAGTCATTAAATAAACAGTTTGGTTAATTTAAGCAAGCTGTTAATAGAAGAAAATGTAAATTTAATTTTATAAATTTTATTAATAAGGCAGGTGCTGCAGGTCTCCATTTTATAACATTTTTTTTTGTTGATTACGGTTGTTAGGAAGAGTTTGGCCAGCACCTGGTGCATTTTGACGGCCATTTTGATAAAGGCCAAGACCATCTTGGCCACAAAACATCTGAGAATTGAAGGAATTCATGTGTTATAAATATTTTTCAAAATGTATTTTATTATATCATTTATTTTTATCTTTTCTTATATAACATCGGTAATACATTTATTGGAATTATATTTTCTTAAGGTTTTAATACTTCAAGGTAAAATTGAAAGGGTAATATCTTAGTAATATATAAGACGGCCTCTAGCGGTTGGTATCGCAACTTTTTACCATTACATTATACATTTTACAGACGGTTCAAGTACTAGCTAACGTTTACAATTTCGATTGTATAATATAAGAGTCGTGAGGGTCTGGAATTTGTTCATTTTTCAAGCAAGGATAAGCAGAGGATAACTAGTTAATAGTTATGTGTGGAATTTAAATGTTATTTTTTATATATTATCATGATTGGATAAACACAAAATAGATATTCTGTAATCTGGGTCTTTCTTAATTACCATACAAAATGTATCTTATACTGCGGAGAGATAAGATGGTTAAAAGTGAACTTTAAGATTTGGTAAATTAAGGATAATTAATAATATTAACAATAATTTTAATATAAATGTTATTTATAAAACCATTAATTTAATTAATAAATTGTAGAATCTTTTACCGAGTCACAAAGTCAATACACAAAGAGTATAGCTACGGATATAAATAATTATTTAATCACAATTTATTCTGAAAACCTTCGCAAAAATGGTTCCAGACAGTAGTACTGTATCAATCTTTGTTTTATATTAAAAAAAATGTTCTTTTTGTTGAATTTTAAGTTCACACAGTCTAGCAGTAAAAATCTACTACTCGCAGTGATTTTTTTATGACCAAAAAAATCTTTTTTTCCATCCCATGCTCTAAATTGTACTTACTAGTGTGACTTACATAAATATTTGATAATTTATTAGCGCTGAGCCATAACCTTGCTTAAAAATAAAAAACCAAGCAACTTGTGCTTTCATTCATAGAAACCACTAAATCCTAATGACCCAGTAAAGTGCACTTTAACAGCAAAAAGTGCTGAAAATCAATGCAAACTTGTCCATGAACACTTGTCTCTCTACCACGTCAAAGTGCCACAGAGGGATCGGGTTTCGGAATCATGAATGATAATCAAAAACAGGGAAAGTCAAACATTCGAAGTGGCTTTTGATAAACCATTAAATAAAACTCAATACCACAAGGAAAACAAGACTGAGCGCTATTGACGGGGTGGGCATTTCCAAATCAAACAAGAAACTGTCGAGTTTAATTGAAAACGCCAATTCATCATAGGGGATGGGCTGCTCATTCCCTTTTTTGTGTAATTGAATACCTGCTCCATTCAGGGGTAATCGCATCAGCAAAAGAAGCTAACAAAATTAGCGACAACGGAAAGCGAGAACGAGAGTTTTTTTGGGCGCGTGCGCCTGCCACAAGCATCATTATATACTAATTACTCGGGTATTATCGAAACGCATTCAGCTGAAATGGAATAACGAGTAGCAGTTCCTGCTTCGATCCCCAGTTCCATCCGCACACACCGCATTCTCACTTGGTCCTGAATTGGTTACTCAAATCTGACCGCAAAACACCGACCACTCACCACCCCACCCACTTCCTCCGCCTTTCGAGCTGCTCTTCCATTGTTGGCTTGACTTACCGGCGCCCGCGGCATTAAGAGCCACTGAATTGGCAATAAAAAGATTATAGCCCGAAGGTGTGAAGTGTTGTGGAGAAGAGGGAATCGCACCGGTCTCCGGAATCGCCGCACAAAAGCCGGATTCACCCCCAGCGGAGAACATGTGCTGCATGTTCTTTGACTGCGAATTCGTTCCCAGCATCTCACTCGATTCGACTCGATTCGAGTGGAAGAGCTCTCGAGTGGGTTTCCGAGTGAGGGGCAGCCATGTTGGCATCTCATCCAGGCATCCAATCAGCGAGGGAGTGCTGTCTCTGGGCCACAAGTCAGCCAATGGCAGAAAGTTTCTGTGAGGGTACTTACTCACACAATCTTTAGAATTGAGATTGAGGACTTCACGTTCCAAGATGCAGATGATTAACCCCTTCATTGTTATCAAAAATATTCTGTTTATAATTCAATAACGAATTTAATCGAAGCACAATGTTCTTTAAATTTACTTTATGCAACCCCTAACAAGTAAATGTATTCTAAGCGGTAATTTACTTTTGGTTTCCCAAACATACTAAGGTAAAGAGTTAAACTTACTTTTACTTCACAAGGTGCAGGAAATGCGGGAAGGCACTTTAACATATTTTTTCTAATAAGATACTTTTAAAGGAAATTATAATATTAATGGTAGTGTATTTTTATAGAGTATTGCAATGGTTTATCCTTAAGTAACATTTTTGAAGCTAAGACCTTTTTATGATTAGATGACTTAATCTCCATACAATTTGTGTTGTAACTTAGTCCAACAATTTTTAAAATCAATTTTTTTTATTATTCCAAGACTTTATGTAAATGTTGAGCTATTAATCTGCGACAGAATCGCTTTACATCAAGGGACAAATAACATTTAAAAAATATCTGAAGAACAATTTAAAACAATTGATCCTTTTTGTTTTAAAAATTTATCTTTCTTTATGAGTAAGTTGCATTTGCAATGGTAATGGTAAGTCACATGTAACTTATGTTTACTCTAAGAAAAAATAATTTTTTTCTAAAAACGACTTCTAAAATATAAACAAAAAATTACTTGGAAGTATTATTCTCCCGGCCCATCAATTCGTTGTTTAGTTTCTGGCTTACAGTGCCAAGCAATTCCATTACCCAACTAACCTACTTAGAAGCAAGAGTGTCAGTCTACGGAGACCTTTTGGGATTCCACCCAAATGATTTAGATTCTAAACAAATCACCAGCATAAACAAATCATGCAGATTCGAACAGAAAGGAATTGAAGTTGAGGGACTGTACCGAGAATACAAATACCAAGCAAAGGAGAGCAGTTAGGAGGTTATAAACAATAAACAGGATGCATGCACTCCCCAGGAAATAAGTCGCACAATGCGAGGAGTATATGCAACCGTAACCATTTTACGACAATCTTTGTTTACGCACTTGAGAGGAAACTCAAAGGCTCTCTGGCCGGACTCGGGATCCACCAATGGGAGGAATCGAGTGGCAATAACCACCACCGCCAGATGCCGACGAGCCACTTGAGTACGGCGCACATTTACCATTTCCCATTTCCCATTTCCCATTTCCACTCCGTGAAACCGAGTGATTCTCGCCGGGGATCTCGGCCAGCTATTTAAAGACAGCCCGGAGCGTCCGTCTCGAGCACATTCGTTACTCAGCCCTCGAGCCGTGAAGATCCGAGAGTCGCAAAGAAAACAGAGAAACCGGAGTGAACAAGTGTCGGAAAATTCATACTAAATCATACTAAACTAAGCCCCATCAGTTTGTGAAAAAATGCTGAACATGGAAAGTGCGGGCGTGGGAGCTGCGATGGCGGGCCTGAGCAAAACCCTCACCACTCCCTTCTCCATCAACGACATCCTCACGCGCAGCAATCCGGAAACGCGTCGCGTGTCCAGCGTGGACTCTGATCCAGAACCGGAGAAGCAGAAGCCCTCCGATCGCGAGAGATCCGCCTCCAAGTCGCCTCCACTCTGCTGCCGGGACCTCAGCCTCTACAAACTGTCGCAATCGAAGGAAATGCCACCGAGTGCCAGGCAAACCAGCAACTATTTGCAATACTACGCTGCTGCTCTGGACAACAACAATCATCACCAGGCAACAGGAGCAACCGGAATCCAGAACTCCAGTGCCGCGGACTACATGCAGCGCAAGTTGGCCTACTTTGGGTCCACCCTCGCTGCTCCTTTGGACATGAGGCGCTGCACCAGCAATGATTCCGGTGGGTTGAGTTCCCTTTCAGTAACTACTTTCCATTAAGAGCTAATGGTTGCCCCTAAAAGCCAATCAGCCTTTTGTCTGATTTTGTGCTAATACTCGCGCATTTTCTCTAATTTTCCGTAATTTTCCCTTTTGCAGACTGCGACTCGCCGCCGCCTTTGAGCAGTTCGCCCTCGGAGTCGCCGCTTTCCCACGACGGCAGCGGTTTGAGCCGCAAGAAGCGTTCGCGCGCCGCTTTTAGCCACGCCCAGGTGTTCGAGTTGGAGCGCCGCTTTGCCCAGCAGAGGTACCTTTCCGGTCCGGAGCGCAGTGAGATGGCCAAGAGCCTCCGCCTGACGGAGACGCAGGTGAAGATCTGGTTCCAGAACCGCCGCTACAAAACCAAGAGGAAGCAGATCCAACAACATGAGGCGGCTCTTTTGGGGGCCAGCAAGAGAGTTCCTGTCCAGGTGCTCGTGAGGGAGGATGGCAGCACCGCCTACGCCCACATGGGAGGTCCAGGAGCGGGTCATCATGGATTGGATCCCGCTCTGATCAACATCTATCGCCACCAGTTGCAGTTGGCCTATGGAGGATTGCCGTTGCCACAGATGCAGATGCCCTTCCCGTACTTCTACCCACAACACAAGGTACCACAACCCATCCCGCCGCCCAGTCAATCCTCCAGCTTCGCAGCCGCCTCCTCCGCATCTTCGTCACCCGTTCCCAATCCCCTCTCCCTCCCAGTTCCCATTCCGGGTGCAGTGCGTCCGCAGCGAACCCCGTGTCCCAGTCCCGGCAACCAGGTGATGGGCGTGGAGAGCGGAAACGAGAGCGTCCACTCGGTGGCGGAGGAGGGCGAGGAGAACGTGGAGATCGACTAAGCGGATGGGACGGGAGTTCCCCGGCGGAGAGCGGGGATGCGTTTTTGTGATAGCCGTAGGAGTTGTGTTTAGTCTCTATGCGTAATTAGTAGTCCCATAGCTTTAGTAGCCCTAAGTTTTAGTTGTACCCACTTGAGAGCTAAATAAAATCTAAAGAAATCTTAATTCTCGTTGTGTATTTAATGGAGGATTTTGTCAGTCTTCGTTGCATCTATTAACAAAATGCTTTATTTAAATGGTCAATATCTAGTTTTTTGAAAGAAAAAACATTTTAAGCAGATCCGATTAAATATGCGTTAAATGGATTTGCAATTAAGGAATTATATTTAAAACAAAATGAATGAAATGATTGTGTGTCGTATTGGCTTTCTTATAATCTCTGCTCCTGAAAATTAAAACAAATAATTAAGTAAACTAACTTATAAATAGAATGGATTCGTTTTTTAATTGGAAGACTTGTAAAAGAAAACAGAACAATGTACGAGTATTTAAAAAATTACTTTTGTTCGAATGTGTTGAAAATATACATCAGCAGAGGAGGTTTAATTTTGTTCGTCCTTTAGTACCAATGAGAATTTATGCTTTAGTTTTTGTTTTCAAAAAATGTTTAATGGTGTATATATAATTTATTTATCAGAATTTGTAAGCATTTAAGCATTAAGGCCACAAACAAATGCGGTACAAGAGAAAAGTCTTGATCATTTTAAATATTGGGTCTTGAAATTACAAAAGTGATGATTTAAGTTAAAGCTGTGTTCTATTAGATTATCGGAAGGAAATTAATTAAAGCATTCTTGAAACTAGAGGAGTAAATTGGTACCACATGACCTCAATTTGCATTAGCAGGCAGGCGGAAGGGAGGAAGTTTGGAAGGGAGGAACCTCTCAGATCTGAGACCCCTCAAGAGTGACAGCGATCGGTTCCGCTGAAGTGGCGAATGCGTGTGGCCTAAGCCTTGCGAAAAGCGAAAATTGAAAACTGAAAACCGAAAGCCGAAAGCCGCTGATGATGACCGACTGTGACGAGCCCACTCAATGTCGACAGAGAAGTGCTTCAATGTGTCAGAAGGGTCGGGACGTCTGTCTGTGACCCACAAAACCACTGACTTACATTCGATTCTCCCGAGTGCTTTTGCACAAGATCATCGGAGGGGCGGAGGAATGGGAATTAGAATGGGATCGAATATGGGATTGGGAATGGGAAAGGGAAAGGGAACATAGACATGTCCTTAGCAGCACAGTTGGTGGCTGACGACAACAAGGACACGCCTCAAGTGCCAGTCGGCGACAATTCGAGGCGATGTTTACAAACAAACAAACAAATAGAATCACAAGCTGACGCCCAGGATCGGAAAAAGGACATGTGACCAGTGGGAAATGTAATCGACCGATCATTGCTGAACATCCACTTCACAAGGACCACGGGCGGTTAGCAACAATTCTGATCGTATTTCTTGTAAAACATTTTATAAAATATCTTTCATAATACACACCCTTTTCTTCACTTGGAAAAAATTCTGGTAGAAGTTTTTAAAATTCCATCTCAACTTGTATTCATATTTTTTGCCAACAATAATTTAATAATTGTTTGCATTATTATTTTCTATAAGTAGATCCTTTGCTTCCAAAGTACAACAACATTTCCCTTTTGGGGTTAAATTTTTCAAAGTGTTGCAAGTGCCAGCAATTGGGGCATTGAACGTGCTGCTCTGGCGACTGCCAACTGAAAAAACAATCCGGATATTCGGCTATGGGCGATCTCTAAGTTCATATATTGCTCTTGGGCGCATTCTTAGACTTTGCTTTTAGTCAGACATTTGACAAATTGGGGACACTAAAATCGATTGACAGTTGTAATTACTTGTGTCAATAAGACTTTCAGCAGTGCGACTATGTAGCTTATTGTTACTGGGTTCTTAAAACATTTTCATAATTCATTTTTCAGAATAAACATTCTTCTACAGGAAGTTTTTTAAGCTTTTAAGTTGTTTATATAAACTTGAAGTCAGAATATTTATTTGCTTTTATATTATCATGGGCTGCTATTCAAAAAACATTGAACCAAAAAACTATTTTGCATTTCTTTTAGAAATTATTAAGTGTAAGGAAAATAAAAAAAAACTCGTTTGTAACTAAATTATAACTGATGCTCTAATTTAATTTAAATGGGGTGTATATTTTAAGTGAAATTACTAATGAATTACAAAATAAATTACTCGTCGCAGACTGCTTCCCGTATAATATGAGTGAGAATCCAGATTGAGTGGGTTTTCATGATTATGAGTGACTTTAGAGAACCTCCCCACTCTGTATTGTAATGTATTGTGTTGTATGGTTCACCCCGATAATTCATGGCCTCTTTGACTTTGAGTTTCGGTTTGTAGCACGCTTCGGATTTCCCATTTCCCTGCTGAAGGGTTGAAGCGAGTTGGGAACACACGCTGCATGTGGTCTTGGAGTGAAATCCATTTCGTCCTGCTGCTGGCGGCTCGGCTACTAATTTGTTTATACTGCGCCGCCTCGGATTTGTTTATGCAACCTTTTTATGACACACATGCCGGGGTGCTACGAACTGTCAGCTACTTGACGGCAATCCTTTTAAGCCGACCCGCCGAAACGGGGACTTGTAATTAATATGGAAATTAGTCACGGGCCCAAGTGGCGTATGCGCAATCTTTGAACTGCAATTAGCAGTCGCCTGTCACCGGACGTCCTTGCTTGTTGTAAACAGTTTTAGCGATATTCGCTATTTGTTTAAACATTTCGGGGGGCCTGCATTCTTAAGCAGAGAGTGCATTTAATGGCGAAATGCAAAATTCAAAAGAATATGCCAAAACCGTTGCCCGGACAGCTTAAAGTGTAAACAAAACGTACGAAATGTTCACTTATTATAAAATGCACTGCATTCTTGCTTTTGGCCCATTTCGATGCACTTTGCCTTAGCGTTTTTGGCGCTGTCTTCTGTCCTCCTCCTTTGCTCCTGTTTACTATATAGCCCCTCCAATATCCCATCCCGATCCCAAACCAAATCCCCATCCAAATCCAAGAGCCTCGATCGGAATCGACGTCGTCTGCTGCACACATGTGTGCCATAAAAGGAGGCTGAGGGCATTTTCGACTTTCGACTGCGACTGACACTTCGATTTGCAGGCAGCGTGCTCGAATATTGCTATTCCCATTGTTATTGTTATTGTTGTTGTTGCTGTTGCTGTTGTTGCACGTGTTGCTCTGCCGAGGCGTTTGTTTATGCAACAGCCCGGCTTCTAACAGTTCTCGGTAGGAATAACTCCACAACAAATTCATCAACTAAACTCTAAGCTATAGAGCACCATACTCTATACTCATCGGGTATGTGAGCTGCGTGGATTTTTCTGTTTTGCGCCTTGGAAATATTTACCTACAAGATCCTTACGTTAAACTTATCCATTCACCTATGCAAATAAATTCAAAAGAGCAGTTTTGTATTTCGAAAAATAACATATGCGTGTTACAAACCACAAATTCGATTAAATGGCAATATTTATTATATTATTTGTTAGGATAATGTATACTTTTTTAATATATAAATTATTATTTAACTTTGTGTGTTTATCCTTATTATCCGTAATTTTTTGCACTTTTGATATTCTTTTTTTTTACTGCTAAAACAAATTAAGAGAACGAACGTTTTCAACATTATAATGCCTTGAATAAATTACTTGAAGAACAGATAGCTCATGCTTTTCTTACGGTAGAGTGTTTCCATTTCGACCTGATTGATTCATAGGGCCTTTCCAACTTGATTTTGTTATTGAAGTTGTGCTCTTTGTTTTATGGGATGGACCTGGCACTAAGAGGGGATTCCCGAAAGGAAAATCAAAAGGGGAAAGGGAAAGGGATCTGGGAGCCAGCGACATTGCCTAATTGCTCGGCTGAAATTGGGAGGAAGGGGGTGATGGGGTTTTCCACGGAGGAGAAGGGTGAATGGGGAATGGGATCCCTTCGCTTCGGTTTAGATAGGTAAATGAATCTTCGTCTCGCCGGCGATTAACCCACTCACACCCACGGAACCCGATTGCTGTGTAAACAAAGCACGGGAAGCCTACTATATTTATGTTTATTTTGTTTTGAAAATTGTGCGTTTAATTTATAGTTAATTGTTTTTCAGCTTTTCATTAGCCAACCGAACCGAGCGGTGACTGTGTGCGGTCCCCGGGAATCCGAAAAGCCGACGATTCCCCGGAATCCAGCCCACAGATGATATTATACTCGCAGCAATTGTTGATGATGGTGCTATTTGCGCAAGTTGTTGTGCTCGTTGTTGTTGTTGTTGTTGTTCGGCCCGCCCGCCCAACAAAATGGCCACCCACCTCAATTTCAATTTGAAATTCAATTTCCAACTCAATCGGCCGTCCGGCAGCTGTTGAAAAATCTTTGCGCAATGCCAAATCCCAATCCAAATTCAAATCCAAATCCAAATCGGATCCAGCATATAGCGCACTATATAGCAGCCACTCCTTTGCTTATTTGGCTTCAAATAAAAAATCATTTAAACGATTTCGAGAACGGCGGCCATAGCAAAGAAGCGCAGCGAAATTGAATGATAAATGTTTTGGCTTTTGTGATTTTGTTTATTGTTCAAATTTCGGGTAAAAAATTTCAAATTTCTACCGCATGCATAAAACGGTTTTGGTTTTTCTTTTTTTTTTGTCTTACTTTATCGCGTTTTATGGACAGCCATTCAAGTCGGCGAATGCCGAGTTGAGTCCAACTGGCACTAGATGGATGGATGGCTGTTGATTCGCGAGCTGTTTAGATGGAAATCTTGTGGTCCAGAAGGCCGAGAGATGAGAGGAGAGACACGCACATGTGTCCAAGTTCCACTGGGGCAACTTAATTAGCGTTTTAATGGCCCTGCCGACTCGTAATGCCCGACAATTAAAGTCGCAATTTGGCCAGGACCATTTGGTTGGCCCGCCGCTCGATTTAGGCGTTATATTGGGTGAGAATCAGTCTACATTGGAGCATTTGCAAATGGATTGGGTTCCTTATCAGCTGCCTGAGCGCTACTAATAGGCCACCAGGCGGAAAACACTCGAAGATCCGCTGATAAACAGTCACTTGGAATGTGAATAGGAGGGATCTGTTTTTCCATCTCAAGACATTTGGCACCGAAAAGTGTTTGCATGTTTTTCGGGTCGGGAAAACAAACTGAAATGGATGGTGTCGTGTATGGTAAACACTTCAGAGAATCAGTTTCCTGGGTGGAAAAGTTTTCGGAACGGAATCTTTTGGCCGCTGAGCACCTGCAACTTACTTGCTCGTTAATCTTTTGTTTTCCTCCATTTGTTTCGAACAACATAAAAGCGCTTAAAGTCTGTTTAAGTGCCCATTGGCTTGTGTAAACAGACTGAGTCACAGGAATTCACAGTTGACTAGGTGTTATTTTGTTTAAATAAATGAAGTCCTAGAACAAAAAACATACAATTTCCGATGCTTAAATCAAATGTTTATACCTTTCAGAGAGATCAAATTGTTTTTGTAGCTAAAAGAACTGTTTAGCAGGGAATACAATGCAGGGAAAATAAATTTAATTTGAACTAATTGCCTTTTTGGCATTGAAATTACCGTGAAATTCCAGCAATGCAAAAATCAACATCAAATTGCCGAAGAAGAGCAGCTGAACGCCTCGTTAGCTTTCGTCACTAAGCTGAGTAATTTCGGTTTCAAATGAATTCCACCTACTTTTCCTTAGTGCCATCTCTTTATCTTTCCTCCTTTTTTTCTCCCCTATTTTTTCATAATCATTGTTCGGGGAATTTTCTTTTCTTCGTCCTGCCACCCAAACGCCTATCGGCCACGCCCACTCCAATGTCGTCGGCTATTAGCAGCAATTTTCAATTTCCTTTCTGATGAAGCACATGGCAAGAGAGCAAATTACATGGCGCACAAGATGAGACATTCACTTTTCTTCGCTTTTCTTTCCTCGCTTATTTTTCCTTTTTTTTTGGCCATTTTCCCCCCCTTTGAACTCCATCCTGCACGTACGCAATTGTCCTGAGCGCTCGTCTTCGATTCGAAAAGAACATTTTCTTGCAATTTCTGCTGGGTGGCTGAGTGGGTCGAGAACGAAGCCCAGACGGGCGCAAATGAACGGCCATTATGTTCATCCGAAGTGAAAGCGAGGGCTGAAGTGAATTTTTAACGAGCTGCCAGGAGCCGAGAACTTGCCCAGTGCGTTGCACTGAGTTGGTAAGTTGCTAAGATGGTTAGCCAGTGAGTTGGTAGAGAGTTATCCTGCCGGCAAAGGACATGCTTCAATAGAATAAGGAGAAAATTACACTTAAACGCTGCTGCGTGTCGACAGCTTGAGTTTCTCTGGGTGGTCAAAGCTCTGCAATCCTGGATGGGGTATTATGAAATTAGAGTAAGGTTTGTAACACTAAGAAAATAATGGATAATGTGTAAAATTGTAAGAACTAGGTGTAAATGATTGCTTTTATTTGGTCTCAATTACTATAATATAACAATGCGTAAGTTCTTCAAATTTTATAGGCAAAAGAAAATATATACGAAAGTAAAATAATAAACGTATAACTCGAATCTTGAAAACTTCTTTTGAATAGAAACAATTGAACACTTTTAGTCACGTCTTCTTAAGATAGAATCACATTCTTTATTAATTGTAAATATTTTATATATTCTCTATTTTGCATCTACAGTATAAAGAGTACTCCAACCTCGGCTTTCCCCACCTACTCAGCTTACTCATCTACTTTAGCTTCCCATTTTCGGTTGGCCAACTTTGATTGGACTGCATTCAAAGGTGGCCATCCAAATTGCCGGTCAATTAACAATTCCCCCTAGAAACTCTCCTCGTTAACCTGTCTTCATCATTCGCGCTGGCATCGCATAAGCACATTCCACTGCCGGAGGATGGTTTTAAGTTTATTTGGCCAAGCCGTTGACAGACAAACAGCTTCAATTCGATTCGATGCGATGTGATGCGATGTGATGCGATGCGATACACCCCTTCCGCTGCTCACACTCGCACAACACTCATACGCCCTGTGCGCCATCTGCATTAACATATCATTAGTGCGTGCGTGTGTTTGCCTGCTTGCCCGTTCATCCGCGCCTTTGTTTACAATAGAGCGTAATCATGTGTTACAAATACCCATAGCACAGCCCATGGGCCGTGTAACCCTAGCAGCCAGCAGGAGGCAGCTAGCAGCAGGCAACTTGGGGCGTCGCACCCACTTCAATGTCAGTTCGTGAATGCATAATGAGCCGGAGAGCTCCACGGAGCTCTCGATCTCTGTGTCCCCGCACTCCGGCCTCAAGTGCACTTTGCCGGAGACCCCGGGATTCCCGCCGGAATCGGGTAAACATCCCATCTCCGCGTCCAATGGCGCTCCAACTGGCGCTGCCATCGCAGGAAGCAACTGTCTTCGGGGTCACTTTGTTTATGCCATTTTCGATTGCAGGATAGACATTAAATGTGCATATCTGGGATGATCGTATGTGTACTTAGTTGCTGCAAGTATATTCAAAAGGGAATTGATGTCTCCACTGCCATTTAAAAAAAAATCAGAGATTTATACAACTTATTTTGTCAAACAAATTAAATAAGTTTATATTTATCCAATAAGCAAAATTCGAAAGGTGTGCTACATATTTATATTAATTTGTATACAAATGAAATGATTTTTTAAATCACTTTTTTACTTGATTATATATAACACCAATGTTCTTTTGATTTTCCCAGAATGAGTTAATATGTTCTTGATGATTTGGTAAGCGCATACTTTAGCTGCCGTATGTGAAAAATCATCAATTGGGCAATGCGAATCCCTGGTAACATATTGATGATGTTGAAATCCCATTAAATCTATGATGAGTTTTCTTTAGTTGGAAGGGGGGGCTGGCTTTTTCATCTCAAGACTTTGCATTTTTGCTTAATTCGTAGAGAACACTTGGCTCGGCACTCAGGCGCCTTAAGTATAATATTGAAGGACCGCACCAATTCCGATTCATTAAATACTTAAGTAGAAGCTCAAGTGCCAAAGCTTAAGTGTTCGGGCTATTATTGCAAAAATATATAAAAAGCAACAAAGTGCAGATCAAGTCTATATAAAATGTTTCATGGAAATTCCCATATGGCGCTTTTGTTGATGTTTTTTATGAAAGAACTTTTGAAAAGTGGCGTTACCTAAGATTAAATTATTTTCTATTGCCTTTCAAGTTAGAAGTTCTTTTTCGTCAGCTTTTCAACATTATGTTTTTATGTTTTTGATATACACTTAAGAGTTCAATTTTATGCTTATAATAAGATTGGATGAATACCTCATCTTAAACTAAAATTCATATTTCATACAAGGTGTTTTGAAAAGGCGTTTATTAATAATTTGTATTCCAAAAAACATTCGAAATATACTATCTATTTTATATATTCACTCTGCTTTTGACTCCTTTTCCGACTTATTGGTGCGATTCAAATATTTAACTTTTCGGAAAATCACATACAATACCAATAAAGGCGTTAAAGTAATTCCAATAATTATAGCTGCGACATCCAGTAAATAAAACTTGTACCAGGGAAGATGCACTCCCTCTGCCACCAAATGAGGAGCCCCCCGGTGTTCGATGACGTAATCAATCCAGTACATAGAAGTATTCATAGCGCTCAGAGGACGATCTCGAAACACTTTGGATGCCTTATCCACATTGGCTTTATACTTGGGATTCGAAAGCAGTTCATTGAGCGCAGATTCCAGCTGATCCTTGGAAATGGTGCGATAATCCATGCATATCCCATATTCTCGGCCGACTTAATGTTCACATTCTGATCGAAGTAGAAGGGCATTCCGAGCACTGGAACCGCGTGATGAACCGCCTCCTGCATTCCGAAGAGTCCTCCGTGGGCGATGAAAACCCTCACCTTCGGATGGGCCAATATATCGGCCTGAGGTAACCACTTTTCAACTTTCACATTTTCGGGGAGTTTCGGCATCTTGTCGGATTCGAACTTCCACAGGACTCGTTGTTTTAAACCGGCAAAAACCTCGAGGAACATATTCAGCTTTTCCGGTGGCATGTCAGCACTGCACACTTGAGATCCTATGAATTGAAAATATATACAAGGATTGGTATTAATTTGATGGCAATTTAATATAAATATATTTATAAATTAAAAGAAATGGATAAATATATAGAAAGGGTTACAAAAGGGCTGGCATAATTGTACCTATGATTTTTGCTATACTTTTCTTATATCGTTAGAAAAATTTTAACGAAATTAAAAATAAAAATAAAATTGATTGAAAGTTTTTCTCGGCTTAAAATCCATTTACCCCTTGAAGCAACTCATTTATAAACTTACCCAAACTGAAGTAGATTGCCCCGAACTCGGCGTCATCAAGGAAGCTCTTGATGTGTCCTGGCAGCGGGTTGGGTGGCAGGATGTGCAGTCCACCCACTGAAATCATGTTCGAGGTCATGGGCCTCTGAGATGTCAGCGGCATGTAGCTATTTAATAGTATCACTGAGATGTTCCGCTCCAACTGCCTGACCGTCGGAACCTGAGGCACTAGCTCCCCGAAATACTTTCTTATAATGGCATCCTGCGCCGGATAGTAGGACACCTCCCGAAGGAGATCTTCTGCAGTGGTAATCACCACATTCTCCAGTCGCTCCCACAAAGTCATTCTCTCCGTGATTGGTAAAAAAACATTTGGAACATACGACAACGGGTTTATGAAGCCAAAGATTTGGCTAAAGTAGTTGGCATAGGCGAAAGTTGCTATTGTTATGACTGGAATTTGGTAGAGATGCCCGAGCATCAGAGCTCCCTCGTTGAAGAACTGCTCCACCAGAAGGAGATCGTATTTATCCTTTTTATCATTAGCGTGAATTAGTTCCTGAACTTTTGAATAACCCAGAGCCAAATCGGTGGATTTGATGCCTATATGTTGGCCTAGTCTCATTTGGGTTAGCTTCGATAAGTCCACCATGTCCAATGCAGACTTAGTGTTCATCATGACAGAAACTGTTTATTATTATCAAATTAGTTTCCATATTGATAAATAATTAATCCAGCAAACTTACTATCTGACCAAGTGTCGTAATGGGGCAACAGAATTTCCCTGTAGTTTGGCCCCAGATTTTCCTTTGCCAATGAAAGTGGGGTAATGAAAGTAACCTCATGTCCACGACTCACCAGTTCCCTGATTATAGCATTTGTCATCATAAAATGGCTTCGTACTGGCAGGAAAAAAGGTGCCAGAATTCTTGCTCTATTTCCAAAACCAAAAAGGCCCAATAAAAGGAGCCTAATAGGAAATAACTGCAATTGAAAAATGAAAACATTTTAATAAATTTAAACCAATTAAGTCTAACTAGAATTGTAGTCAACACAAACCATTTTAATTAAGTCAAAATATTATATCTTAAGCACTTGCTAGTCGCGGAAACACTGAATTTCGAAATTTTGTAGACGAGGTCTTATATGTTATCTGAACTCTCTATTTTATTTACAAAAGATAAGAAGGCAGACATGCGTATCTCAAGATTCTTTTAACACTGCGTGATACCGAAATTCCAAATTCTGTCTTTTCTCCAAAAGGTAATTACCCTTTCCCTTAGATGAAGAAGGTGTATTTATGGACAAGTAATCTTTTCGGATGATAAGAGTTCATTCTGCTTAAAACGTTTTGAGATAAACTTCTGAATGAAATTGATAAAATCGGAATTCGCTTGTGCTTAAATGTATTGGTGATTGTTTTCACATTCAATAGCTGATAATCAATTTTTGCAAATCATCACGAGGTAGAAATATTTTGTAAGTATGAAAGATTACAAGAAAACAAAGAACCTTTAAAATGTAGTTTTTAATGCATTGCTTGAATTTTCGCGTATTATTTCCGTTTTGAAAACATGTAAAGGTTTTTCCTAAAAATGAGTGAAATGTATCCTGTTAGTTTCGGAATTTTCCTCTTTGAGTTTATGTTGTACTTCCCAAAGCGATCAAGTTAAACGATGGGAAATCGTAAATAAATCAAAGTCATTCGACTAAATTAAATATTTGCCTCCCGGTTGCCACCCACTCGTTCAGTGTGTTGAGTTATGGTCAAAAACTAAACGAGCTCATTGCCGATGTTTTCCCTCCAATGTAAACTGCTGAATCCCCCAGTCTTTCCGATGTTGTGTACATATTCGGCCATATTTACGAGTGCATGCATATAAATGGTTAAATTGCAATAAAACTCAACGCGCCAATTTGTAGGCAATTAAATTTTATGTTTGGACTGGAATTTCGGGGGATTCTGTGACGTTCGCCTGGATTTCTATATGGTTTCTGATTCCGATTCTTATTCCGTTTCTGAATCCGCATCGATCAGTCAATTTGGCAGCCATTCGCGGCGGACTTATTATTGTTTACTTTGTCATATTTAGCCAGTGTGTTTTTATTGTTCCGCGGGCCGCATTCGTACTCGTATTTAGATTGCCACTATTTGTTGCTGCATGCCAGCGCAGATACTTTGTTTATTGTCTCGGCCAGGCCAAATAAATGCAGCTTTTGCTGCTCTGCGGTGAATTTGGCATTTGGCGGGTGCTTGCTGCCACATCGATCGGTTTGGCCATAAACCTTGGCCGGTCATGTCTTCCCGGAAAGGGGCTCAAGTGGATGAAGTTGTTGCGAATTCCCTAATCGCCGGCTAATGCCCCATTGTTGGCAATCACTGCAACGATCTCAACGGCCAAATGCGGCCATAAGTTCCGCCGTCGAGTGTTCCATCAAAATCAAAGCTTTTAAGCCGCCGCCTGAAGTGTTTCGCCTGCGTTCTAATTTCTTTGCAGCCTCTGCAGCGAATGCGCAATTAGCCGCTATTACATTAATAATACGCGTACTTGGCTTCGCCCGGCCGAATGGTAATTGAAAAATCAGCTATTTCCAATATGGAAATCGGAACAGAAATGGAATTGAAAAGCGCACATTTGGCCAAAGTGAATCGTCCGTACTTAAGAGCTTAAAAGTGCGCATCTTGCCCCACTGCATCTGTATTTGTATCTGTATTTGCATCTGTATCTGTATCTGTATCTGGAGCAGTGTGCGATTCTGCATCTATCTTTGTATCTGCACTTGACAAAATTTACAAACATTGGGTGAAGGTTAAGTGCTTAGAATTTGGATCCCTTTGCATATTTTAAATAAGTGAAGATTTTCTCCTGAAGTTATTTGTTTAATTTAGAACCTAAAAATTTTAAATTTATTTTAATCGTTGTGAATTATTCAATAAAATTATTTCAATAAAAATTATGATTTATTAAATCAAATTTATTTCATTAATGCTAGTAAACTTTAATTTAGATTATCAAATCAAGTAATGGGACACCATCATTTGCCACTATGTATATGAACTGATATTTATAGGCTTAAACCTAAATAAAAATTTAAAATAAATTTTGTTCTTTAAAGGCGTTCTCTTCATATTTAGTTCTTTACATGTATGGATTGGCATTTATTTTTAAATGAGACTGCAACCTTCAGCTTGCGGCGACGCTAATATGCAACTGGAAACCTGTCTTGCTGGCGATGCACTGGCTCCATGATCACGTAATCATGCGTGTGGCATTGTTTACAAATCACGCCTTGTCGCCGCTCCCGACGAGACAGGACCTCAAGACCACTTGAGGATGTCGGCAGGACGGTGAGAAATGTGTGAACGCTGTCCTGGCTCCTCAGGGTCCAGATCCTCTGGCTGTTCTGGCCACTCAAGTGGCCGGTGGCTGGGAGTCGCTGCCAAGGTGGCTAATTGGGATCGCCACTCGAAGTCCGTCTAGACAGCTGTTCCGCGGTGGTCCTGCCACAAGTGGCTTGTTGTGATTGCCGCCGCGGGGCATTTGCGACACATTAGCTGACCACCGTTGGGAATTAAATGTCGGAGGGGCAGCGCCAAGGCGGAAAAACTGAAGGCGGCGGACCACACAGCAGACGCAAATAACCCAAAACCGTACTCCAAATAAGCAAAGCGCAGTGCAACAACAAACAATGATGCACTGGAGGAAAATATGGAACAGAATTCTCTGAATGATTCAAGGGTAAAGTTTCTAATGCGATTTATTATTGTTATTTATTTTAATTGAAATAATTGCAAAAGCAGGATAGTCCTTTTTTTAATTCAATGTTGCCATTAATAAACACATAACAGAATACTTTTTGAAAGATATAAATTCTGGCACACGAATGTTTGTATTTTCTTCATTTTCTTTCACTATTAGCAACAAGTTTTTTTGATAGATTCTAATAATATTCCCAAAATAAGCGACACAAATGTTAAAAATTCCTACACTTTTATTGTCAGTAAAACTGGTCTACGCAAAATAGCTTTTTAGTGATAAAAACTACTAATATGTTTGATTTGCAACTTAGATTTATTTATTGGTTTTCTTACTGTAGTCTACCAATATTTTAAAAAGGAATCGTTAAATAATTAAATGGTATATCGTTACAAAAATATTTATTTTTTATCTGATCGTTCAGAACTTTTCTTATATTTCAACGATTATTTCTGCGTGTATGCCACAATTACATTAAATGCATTCCCCCAGCATTTAATGTACTAGTGGAACTCCTCAGCTCAGTTCGGCTCCATTCATGCAACCTCATCCCCATCCCCATCCCCATCGCATCCAACCATACATATCCATCCCATCCATCCAAATCCATCCATCCATCAGGGCCATCAGGTGTGTGGTGGCGTTGGCTTTCTGGATGTGGATGTGAATCTGAATGTGAATGTGGATGTGGATGTTGCTCGGCCGCCGCCGTTAGAAGCGCAATTTGTTTACGCTACTTTGTGAGCAATAAAAGCACAGGCGGCCATGTGGGTGGTCCCACCTTGGTCTCCGGATTTATGCAGTCGCTGGCTATGGGATGGTAGTGCTGGGTGAACATAAAGATGGGATCGGAATGGGGATGGGTATGAAGATGGGGATGGGGTAGCAGCTCCCTTGCCGTGTGCTAATCACCAGCCGCTCTTCGGAGCTGTTCGTGTGGAATTAATCAGCGCATTGTTTGCGGATGCAGCAGGATGCGGCGGGTGACTCTAATCCGTGTGAGAACTAAATTGAGTCATAATTGAATTGATTTTCAGCGAAAGCGGCCACTTGCAAGTGTCGGAATCAAAGGGGCTTGGAACAGCCACTGCCACAGCTGAACAACTGGATAACTTGATAACCGAACAACTGAAGTGGCCGCCAAATTATTTGACATAATTGCAGCATAATGAAGCGCTATCTGCGCCTGGGAAAAAAGAGGGAGCAGCCACTCAAGTCGGGTGCTCAAGTACCCATTGAACTTTCATGGAGATTTGATGGCTGTTTCGGTAGTTTGTTGACCTCGAAGTTATGACCCCCAACTCGGAATGCATCCAATCTGAAATTGTTAATAACATCAGCAATATAAGTCAATAAAAGTCGCTAAAAGATCATTTCCAAGTGTCCTTTTAAAACAAGTTGTTAAATCCATATCAACAGATCAAGTCAGCAGTAGATACGTTTCTGAAATTTACAATCAAACTATTAAGTTGTGGACTGGTTTCTTGTTTAAAATGGGACATTACAGGTATGATAATTGTATAAACCGTTTCCAGATTGCGGTGCTTATGTGCGCCGACGGAAATTAAAAACGGATTATAAAGCAATATAAGTAAAATATAATAAACTCCAAAATCAACGATACTACATTTTGAAAAAAATAATCTAAATTTAAAAGATACCATCGGCACTACAAAAAACACTTTATTTTTTAACAATATTGAATGTGACATGTGAAAAATAATGTTTGAAAATTAATTTTTTTTAATGGGACACAGTAATGTTTCATCAAAATTACAATCATTTTTACTATTAATCAACAGACATGGTACCCTTTAAATGGAAACCAAAGCAAACTATTAGTAGTATGTATTTCAGATTAAGATCCTATATTCTATCCTATCTTAGGTGGATTTTTTGATATATATGGGTGTCCAAAAGCTGGCCAATAATCAAACTGTTTTTGGTGAGTGGTTCGAGGTAAAAGTAAAAGCACATCGAGTCTGGTTGCTTGATTGTATCGTTTTTGAATCTTATCAAGATCAACCAAACATATTCACGATAAGTTAATCAACATGTATGGATCTTGTGGGATATTGCTCTTTTGATGCATATAAAAGCACAGTCACGCTGAACATTCACTCATTCGCAGAAAAAGTTCCGAAATGGATTACAGCTGTTCCCTGCTCTGGCAGATAGTAATCCTGCTGAAAGTAGTGGGTCCCTCGGAGGAGGTCAACTACGAGTTGGTGCTGGAGGAGGAGCGAGTGTTCAGTGAGTGCATGGACAACCCGAGTGGCCACTTGGGCATGGAGGGGCTGTTCGACCTGACCAATCTGGACTTGCACATGGAAGAGGAGGGAATCCACGTGGAGGGAAACATAACCAGTGCGTGGGACATCCAGCCAACGGATCGCATCGAGGTGAATACTTCCCAGAAAGGCGACACTGTTTTCAAGTATTAAAGCAGAGTTTTCAGGGCCGACTAACAATCTTTTATTTGGATCGAGGCACTTGGCAGGCGACTGGCATAAGTGTTTTCTCCTACGATTTCTGCAAAGTTTTGTACGACGAAAAACAGTTTTGGTACAAAGCCTTCACCAAATATGTCATCAACAGTGACGAACTACAACAGAAGTGTGTTCACTACAAAGGGGTATTAGGCTTTTGCAATGAATTTTACTTTTTATGGTTCAATATCATTATTTTTCAGACTTTGTATTTAATGGAACCCTATCTCTTGAAAATGGTTTTCGGTGTAGGCGGGTTTCTCAATCCAGGACGACATCGTATTGTTTTTAACCTGCATGCGATCGATGAGAACAACGAGAAGCGACCAAATGCACTTTGCTTCGAGTTAAGGGGAGAGTTTTTTAAGACTTCCCTGCGTGCAATGTAAAATCTAAATTCCAGCTTTCACATTTAAATTATAATTACATTGGAAAAAAAGAAAAGAAGCTTAAACTTATTTCAAAAAAGCAATAAAGCAACAACAAACGTCGTTTCTGGTTTTTCTATAGTTAATCAAATAAAGTTTATTTTGTTTGTCAATCCTAAATCTGTAGTTTCTTTGGATAGAGTAGCAAACCCAACATAGCAGGCTTAAAATTATACATGCCAGATTCGGTTTGGCTCACTGTTCATTACAGATTTAGCATTCGCGGCGATAACTTTGAAAAACAAGAACAACTTAAGTGAATACAAAAAGAGTTGTGACATACACATGAGTAAATAAGTTCCTAGAGCGTTTGGGAAACGAGTTTTTAAAGAAAGTTACATTAGTCAATAGATTTGACAGGAAATTCTTAATTTTTGTGGATTGCTGACACAATATTTTTCGAGAGTTCTTTCGAAAGGACAACGAAATGGAGCCTGTTCGTCGCAAGCGAGAGGATTCGAGTGACGAGGACGACGGCGGAAGGTTCCGGAAGAGGACTGGCGAGGTGAAGCTGTGGTACGTGGAGAAGTTGATGCGGCGCCTGAGCCACCAGTGCGGCAACTCCACCGAGATGAAGCTGGGTTACCTGGTGCACCTGCTGCGGCACCTGCGACCGGAGCTCGAGGAGCACCTGCTGAGCTTCCTGGGGATCTGCGTGGGCGAGAGTCCTGGCCAGGCGAGTGTGTACGCCACCCTGGTGGGTCTGCTGAATGCGAGGAGCCTGGAACTCGGCTTCGAGATCGTGCACTTCATGGTGCGGAAGCTTCAGGAGTGCATAAACATGCGCGAGTGGTCCAAGAGCCGGGGAATAGTCCACTTCCTGGTGGATCTGTACCACTGCAAGGTGGTCACCTCTTCGTCCCTTTTGGACTTCCTCAACAGCTTCGTGCGGGAGTGCGAGGACCCGAGCGACCAGTACGATGTCCTGGACTCCGTTCCGCAGACTCGTCGCGACTGGCTGGCCACTTGTGTGCTCTCCGCACTGCCCCTCATCGGCCAGGAGCTGCAGCACAAGGAGGCCTTCGAGCGGCTGATGGTCACGCTGCAGATCTACGTGAAGAAGCGATGCGCTCTGGACTCCAACACGCTGGCCGTTTGGCGGGACACGGAGCACCTGGACCACTTGGAGCTGCTCTGGCACCAGGTGGACGTAATGCGGCAGGAGCAGTGGTCGGAGCCGGAGCACCAGCTGATCCCGCGACCCTATCTCGTGTTCGCCTTGAGTGGGGCCATTCCGCACCCGCTGCCTGTTTTCCAGGTGCCCGTCCACGAGCAGGGATGCCGCTATCCCCCGCTTCGAGCCACCTTTCGCCTCTTCTCGGATGAAATGAGCTGCAACTACCTGCCTCTGCCCTCCGCGTTCAGCATAGAGCGGTACTTGCTGGAGGCGCAGATCCAGGACCTGCTGTACACCCACCACCTGGACAAGGGCTTCTGTGCCGACAACCTGCTCTGCTACGCCGCCACGAAGCCCCACTTGGCGGTCCACCACTCGATCGTAGAGGTGATCCTGGGCGAGATGCTGCAGCTGCCGCAGTCGCAGTGGATCACCCTCAACTACGGAGCCATTCTGGTGGAGCTGCGCAAGCGGCAGCCGGACAAGATTCCCCAGATCCTGGTCCATGCCGCCGACATCCTCTTCGACCGACTGGACTCCATGAATGTGGCCGTCTTCGATCGGCTGGTCAACTGGCTGTCGCACCATTTGAGCAACTTCGGGTTCACCTGGCACTGGAAGAAGTGGGCCGACTGCCTCCCGCTTCCCGTCGATGTCAGTGCCAGCAGTCTGAGCCCAAAGGTGGTCTTCCTCAGGGAGCTCATTAAGAAGTGCATCAGGTGGGTAAAAACACTGCCAGGGAAATTAAGCAAAGATAAGGGTTGCAAAACTGTGTTTTAAGGAGAAAAAGCTCCATTTAAAAATAACTAACCAAGGCTAACATATGTGTTGGTTTACTTTTATTTTACATTGATTCTTTTATGCTTTATAGAAATACTTTATTTGTTTTAGTATTTTGTGTATCCGGCACGACAAACATCTCTCCAAACCCAGATTATCGTACCACCGAAGAATCGCTGAGATTCTGCCGGACAACCTGGCTGGCTTTCTGCCGCCACCCGCGCTTCCTCGCTTCAAGTACGTCGACCAGCTGCTCCCGGGTGCCAAGCTGTCCAAGGAGCTTCTGGAAGTGATGCGCACCAAGGACACCAGCCCAGAAGCCATCTCCGGAGTTATAAATGCATTCAATGGCATCGGGCCGCTGCTCAAGACCAACGTGTTCACGCAGAACTGCCTTCACTTGGGAGCCAAGTCGTTCAGTCACACATTTGCAATTATAACCAAATATCACTTGGTGTTCAAGGTAAGGTTAATTACTTCCATTCGCAGACAGTCTTCGATTTTAATACACCTCTCGGAAAAGCTATTCACTATTAATTGAATCTTGAAAAAATAATTGGTATAGAATAGTTTATATAATTTAGCTGTTCTTGGAGTTTTCTTTTAAGAAACATATGTCGAACATTGCACTTCTTAGCAGCTAATATTCAAATTCAATCTAATCCCAACATAATTCATATTATTATTAACTTAGGAATTGGCTGGCAACGATCCGGAGCAACAGCATGCGATCCTGAGCGCAATCTTCGAGGTTTGGGAGGACAGCGATCACCTGAAATTCGTGGTGAGTGAGAAGCTGCTCCGAAGGACGGTGCTGGAGTCCAGATGCATCGTGTCCTGGGTCTTCGGCCCGCTGATGCACAAGGAGCTCACCAAGATGTACATCTGGGAGCTGCTGCACTCCACGGTGCGTTGGGTGAAGCATCTCCAGAAGCAGAACGAGGTTGTGAGTGTGGATGATCCCAATGAAACCGATTATGCGGTCAGGGGCATCCTGCTGGACATCCTGCACCGCTTCGTAAAGGTCCTGTCCGCCGCTCCGCAGGGAAAGAAGGGGTCCGAGGAGGAGCTCTGGTTCCAATGGGTTCTCGGCAGGCTGCTGGAGACGCTTTTCATCTACGCGGAAGACTACAAGAGGATGGCCTGCAAGCTGATCAAAATCTCCGGGGAGACTGACCTCCGGGAAGACATCTCGAAAACTATCCAGAGCTTCCTGGCTCACGTTATTTAAAGTTGTAACTCCTTTATTATTTTATATTTTATTCTTCAATTGTTTCCATTTCGAGTAGTGGGTGTACAACACCAAAAGCCTAATTAACTTGTTCTTGATATATTATGTCTAATTTATATATAATAAATTTGGGCATTATTAAATGTACCTCTTATTGATTAATGCGGTTAATCAATTACTTAAATAAATGTGTACCTTATTAAAAAGAGATTATTTTGTAAAATTGTTTATAAGAAAATAATACGAAAAATGGAGAGGAATACAAAGAAAAGCAGTCGAAACCAAAGCTGAATATAGAATGTATTATTTATTCCCTCTTTATTATTTATTTCCCTCTTTAAAACAAAATAACAAATGTTTTAAAGCTCAATGGGACTACGATGTAGCTCTGCCTTACCGACAGAATACCACTGCTTCAAAGGAAGCAAACTGCTTTAACTTTACTACCGTTGCCATAGTATAACGCCACCTAGGAGTGGTTTTGAATTACTTTACGTTCCACAATGAGCGGATGTGTGGTTCGCGCATTGGATTACATTTTTAGGGTTGAGTCCCCACTTATCTTACGTTATAAGTGTGACCAGTTTGGGTGATTGCTAAGGTAAGGGCGCCAAATTTAAATGATCAAAGTAGGGAATTGTTTTGATAACTTTAAATAACAATCAATAAATAATCAAATGAAGAAATTGTTTTGATAACTTTCAGTACTTAACATTATACATATATACACATTTAATTAAAATAATTTTTATCGGGTATCCTAAACTAGCTATTCTTGCAACTATATTTATATAATAGTATATATAATATATTCTAATAGACTTCAGATCTAAGTTTTGAAGTTGTTTGCGTTAATTTTAAATGAGGCCGTAAAATTACGTAAGATGTTAAAGATTTTCTAATCGAAACAATAATATCAGATATCCGCTGGTAAAACTGATGTTTTCTCGGCACGCGAGTTAAATATTGATAAGATAAGAATCTCTAATTAAGATGCTCTTGTACAGATTTTAATCTTGAGCGTGAAAAATATCAATTTCGGCCGTTAGAGCCTATGTAACAATAACTGTTTGCCTTATAAAAGTGGGGACCCCTCAAGCACGATATTCATTCCGAAAAAAGTCGAAACATGTTTCGCAAATCAGTTTTATTTTGCCTCACCTTGATCCTGCTTCAAGTGGCAGACCTGACATTCGGATTAAATTACATTTTTGTGCCTGAGACGGATGAATTGTTTAGTAAGTGCGAGGAAAGACCAGAATACGGCTACATGGACATCCTGGCGGATCTTTCGGCCCTCAGCCGAATAGGGAGTAATGGTGGAACAAATATATCGGGGAACATAACCATGAAATGGGACGTCCAGCCATTAGATCGTGTTGCGGTGAGCATTTAAGTTCCTTTAGCTATCAGCATTATAAAGACCCATTCATTCTCGTTTCAGGTCGAAGTTGGAATATTAAAGTTTGAGAAAGGCGCTTGGAAGCCAACAATTTTAAAAGGTTCTGATAGAGACTTCTGCAAATCCTTCTACGACAAGAACACTATCTATTATCCTTATTCGACTGAACACGTGGTCAACAAAGAGCAAGTAAAGGATAAATGCATTAACATCCCAGGAGTAAGGCAGTTTTGTGCGAGAATTTATTGTCCCAACTAATTATCCTTACTTTTTAGACAGTTCTAGTGGTGGAACCCTTTTATCAAAAAATTGTGCTGAGTTACGCCCTGCCTCTAAGTCCGGGGCTCCACAAGGCCTATGTCATTTTTTCTGCCTTCGACAAAGCTGGAGTAAAACGTCCTAATGAAGTGTGCTTGCAAATCGTTGGCAACATTGTAAATGAATGATGATAAAATTTCAGAAAATAATTCATTTGGTAATTATTTGTATCTGTGAAATAGCGAATGAAGATAAAAATGTAAAAATGTAACGAAGACTTTGTTCTGATGTTATTTTGGTTAATATTTCCATTTATAATTGGAGACACTTCATCCGAGTGATGATGAAGAAAATTAAATGTGTTTGTTTTCCCAAAAAAGGCTTTAGTTACTGCAATACAAATTTAAGAAGCCAAAAATAAAAAACTGAAAAAAAAAACGTTGTTGACTGTGAAACCTTAATCCACAATTGAAATAAGCCTAGCACAGGTTTATATTTAAACACATATATATATAATTATTATTATTGTGGGTTGATGTGCGTTTTATACATTAAAATCGATTATAATTTTTAAATTCATTTAATAATTTAATTAGAATTATCAAAACAAGAATTTTGCAATTCCTTCTCCACTGGGCGGCTTTTCCATTTTTTTTTTGGCAAATTAGATGCGAAAAGAAGCGTTCGTTCTTAGTAGTTTTCAAATTACGAAGCGGGCAAATACGATTCCGGTGGCGGTGGTTGCGAATAGAGCAACTTGCCATCCGAGTAGCGCATCAGAGTCATTAGCTTCAGCATGCGCAGCTCCTCCTTATCCTTGTCCTTCTCCCGATCCCGATCCTTATCCCCATCCCTGACCCTATCCTTTTCCGATCCGATGCTCTGTGGGTGCTGGTGGTGATGGTGGAGGGGGAGGTGCGAGCGACTGGGATCTGCTGACTGGTCGGCTCTTTAAAATACTCAAGTCATTAACGTTCTTTAAAAAGCTTTGGTTCGCTGACATTTTCTCGCATTGCACGTCCTTCTTCAGCTCCTCCATGTCCCTCTTAAGTTTGGCCCTTCGATTTTGGAACCAAGTGATGACCTGTTATTGAAAGAAATCGATTAGCCACTTGTTACGTAAAAGAGGGGGATAATACGTTTGAAAATCAAGATCAAAAATTATATGCATTTAAAATCTAGGTTTAATTTACCTTAGCAAATGAATAATGAAGTAGGAGTGATTCTTTATTATAGTTTAGGTAATAATAATATTATTTAGTATAGCCAATTATAATAATAATCTGTTTACAGTTGATCGGCTAAACAAGGTTTACAATGAAAATGAGCGTATTAAATCTTTCAAATAATTTAATAATTTTTTGACAACATTATTTTGTTATCATTGGTGGAAAGGCAATTTTAAATTACTTCAATATTAAAATTTAAACATTCGCATTGGTTATGTGAGGTAGTATTCAAGATAATGACAATATTTCTACAGTGTTCTTGATTTCAGATCGTATTTTCACCTTTTTATCTAGCACCCACAGATATCTCAATACTCACCTGAGCATTGGAGAGGCCCAGGCCGCCGGCGATTTCATCGCGATCCGCTGGCGAGAGATATTTTTGGTACAGGAAGCGCTTCTCCAGCTCGAAGATCTGCTGATTGGTGAAGGCGGTGCGGGACTTGCGCTTCTTCTTTGGATTGGATCGCGTGGCAAATATGTTCAACGTGGCGGGATCTGCAAATCAAGAATAAAATATTATATAAAGAGCTAAAGAATCTAAAGAATCAGAAAGGTGTGATGGTGTCGTAAATTAGTGAGCGATCAGTCAACTTTTTATATGCTTCACACGGATGATCGTAAATCGGGAAAGTTTATGGGGCTTTTGGCTCTTCTCTTGGCCAGAAGCACCAGGGTCTGACCTTTCTCCTGAGGATGCTTTAATGACCGCCTTTATGACTGCTATCTACGCATTCGCTGGCACTTTCAACTCAATCGGTGAACTGCTCGTGGTTGAAACAATTTCAAACACACAGTTCGATGGAATTCATAATAGACAATCGACATCAACAATTCGGTGGCCATAAACACGGGCACGGGATTCTCTGGCTTCTTCGTTTTATACCCTCGCGTTTTATTGGCCGTGATTTCCCCTCAGCTGTTTTCTTAAGCGATTCGATGTGGATTTGATTTGATTTGGACTTTGATTGCCGGTATTTGTTTTTGGCATGTTTAAAGGTAATACGGCCGCTGATTGATGTTTATACTTGGCTTTTTTGAAAGTATATATCGGCGGAAGCGACTTTCAACCCAGTTGAACTCGTTGGAAGTTGGAAGTCAGCCCGGCCCCATTAGGTGTTGTTTATTTATCGCGGGCAATTCAATTTTTGCGCCTTTCGTCCGCGTATTTTATTAATACCCGGTATTTATGGGCCGGCGGAGTGATCGTGGCGAACGAGTGCTCAGCCGAAGTATCAGCGGAAATGGCTGTTGCGTCTTTTGTTTATAGGGTTGAATTTGGGGAGCAGGAGGCCTCGGGAAGTCCGACGGGGAAATGGCAGAATGGCAGCTGCGCATTGGAAACCCGGTCGGGGCAACTCGGTTGTTGCTAAACATGTCCGACAAATAACAATTAAGGCACCCGAATTTGGTCCTTGAACAACGCCAGGACAACGGGGTTGATTTATCCCTCTTCTCGCTTTGCGGCCCTGTGGTAAAGTCGAAGGTCGGGTCCAAAGCCATTTTGACACTATCCTGATGTGTTTATTGTGAGGTTAGATAATCTACTGCTTTGTAAACGCCCTTGCCACCAAAACTCGAGGGTTGATCGACTCCTCGGTGGCAGGAAGCACACATGTAGCTAATTTCCATTAACTGAGGCAACATGAAGAGTTAATTAAAGGTAAATGGGAGAAATGTGCGTGACTATTGTGTCATCAAAGGAGTATTTTGCTAATATGTTAAAGAACTTTCTAAAATGTATGAAAAAAAGAAGGGTTCAATTTAAATTAAAGGTTTCACAACCATGACAGAGATTTATGTGGTTAAAGTATACCATTAGTTGAAGCCATTACATTTAAATAAGGTTAACTGCAGGTTATATTTAATCGCATATTATTAGGTTATTATTAATTTATTAGGTTGCGAAATCCACCGTTCTTGGAATAAACAGAACTCGAGTCTCTGACCACTTAAATTTTCTCATTAGCCTGTTTAATTTGGCCCCCATTTGCCATCAATAGCACCTCCCAGCCCCGCCTCTAATTAAAAGCCATGACAAGCCTTCTCTTGGCCAGAAACTGGTAGAACTTGAGTTGCGAGGTGGTGAGTGTGATTTTGGCCATTGGGGGAGCTTTATTAATTAAGAAAAGTGCATTGGGAGGCTGGAGCAAGTCAAAGACTGGCAAATGTTAATGGCCTGTGCCACATGGAGAGCGTATGTCAGTTGCGGCACTAACAACCAACCAGCCAGGTGGAGTTAAAGTGCACGGGTATTTGTTAAAAGAATTACGAGCTGGACACCCACACCTCCGTCTCATGTCGTGGGTAACAAACAATGTCATCAGCATAACTAATCATTGTGACAGCCGGCGGAGAGTTGTCGGTGTTGTCGGTGACACCGAACCACCGAGCGGCATTCAGGAATGGCCAACAATGCCTCCAAGGAGCAGCTCCTGTTGTCTGAGAAGTATGCATAACTTATGCCTCCTGGCGGCGTGGCTAATTGAGACACCAACAAAATGACGCATTGTCCTTACGCAAGTGGGTTGGGTCTGCCTCTAATGCGGGGAAATCTACACTCAACAAAAGTCGGATACATTAATTTTATTCAGGCTTTTTATGTGTTAAAGCCAAGTCCTCAACTTGTCCAACTTTATATCATCTAATGTACTTCATTGGTATTTTTGAGGGTATTTGGAATTTTTTTATTATTATAAAGGTGTAATAGAAGACTGCGAGATATTGCACATTAATGCGTATTTAAATCAAATTTGTTTCTTCATTTACGCCAGTTTAAAAATGTGTAGATTAACTATTCATCTCTTCTTTATTTTAAAATTATTTTTACAAACATCTTTCACTTAAAGTCCCTTTCTTTGGCTATATTTTAAAAGATTTAAATGAAGTTCAATGGGCATAAAACAGTTTTTTATGGTTTTATGATTTATTGCCAGTTTACTCCTTTTCTGATGATTGCAAGACAGAATAAAAAACCAAAGGTGCTTTTAAATTATAAGGTAAGCTGGTGAAATTCCCACCTCAGTTATCATTACCGACACCTTTCGATTCCCCACCAATATTTCTCCGAGTGCATTGGTGATGCGGGATGGCGTGCCTTATCGGTGGCCAATCTGGAAGCCAGACGGAGTGCGCATGGCTAATGGTGTGGCTGGTAATTAGGCAAATAAGCCGGACTCTGCTACTGCGCGGCACATAAATTAACAGCAATTAATTAAATGCTTTCTGCTTAAAGCCGGATCACGACCGGCTCTTCCGCCCAACAGCCAACGAGTTCTATTGGAAAATGAGCCGCTTAAAGGAAAACCAGAGTAAGGCCCAAAGTGCCGGGGCAATTATGTTGATTGAGTCCGATGGCGAGGAAGAACGATTCAATTAAAGCCAGCTCCGAATCAATCAGCCGAGATCAGCCATCAGCCATCAGCCAGCGGCCAAAAATGCTGTGGTAATGGTAATCTGCGGGGATGCACGCACAAAGGCGAACTGAACAGAACAGAACATCATAATAAAGGGCACTCGAGATCGCAATCTGGATATACCTGAGCCCCGATGCTCCAAGTGCTACCAAGATGCGTATCGCTGGGATAAGGCCAATGCTAATGCCTCGGATTGCCCTGCCTGCCACAAGGTGCCTGCTATTCACACGCTCTTCAAATGCCTCACATCCCATCGCATCGCAACGCATCGGAGCCTTTGAAAGACGAGACTGTAGGTAGCCGAGCTGTACAGCTCGGATTTGGCCAAGAAACCCTGGCCGAAAGCATGACGTGGGGAATGTGATTTGGGCCTGCCAGCGGAAGACTCAATTAGAAGCTCGGACTTTCGGGGATTTACGACCGCAAGGAATTTCACATTCCCAGGGCTCTGGCTAAATACCTGCCAATAGCTTTATAAGATCGCCGCCACCACACGGAGTTATGACAAAGCGGCGGAGGACAAAGCGAAGGCCACCTTCGGATGCAAAAGAGCAAGAGAGCCCGGCTAAAAGCGGGCTAATTATGAACAGAGAAGAGGCAAACGGCGGCAGACCGCAAATTGCGTTGTCCAGAAGCTCGAAAGCGTAATCAAAAACTAATTTTAATCCTGTTTTGGAACCCACTCCCGCACGCCTTCACCCAAAGTGAAAATGAAAACGGAGATTCAGATGCGGAGAGGCTCTTTGTGATCCGATCGGATCGGAGATCTTTTTAGCGGTAGGTCCCAGTTAATTTATTCTAAATGGCTTTTCGAAATCCCCGAAAGAGAAATTTACTTATGACGTTGCCGGCGTCTCTCGCTCTCGAACGGGAAAACAAGAACACCTAACCGCAGAGCAACAGCTCGGGGTTCTGAGTTCTGGAATCTGAGATCTGAGATCTCGAATCTGGAATCTGGAATCTGGAATCTTAAGCTCGAGATCTGAGATCCCAGCGATGATGATTCAGACCGGATCAAAGTCGATGGCGGTCCCTGCATATTTTTCTCACTTTGGCGTGTCTGCGTGTTGTTAGCAATGAAATTGATGAGTTCGAGCAGGTTATAAAACCCGATACCTTTTGGCTACCTTTGTTAGCTGCCTCTTTTATTATTGTTATTGCTGTTGTTGTTGCTGGAGCTACGAAAAGCCGAAACACAATAACACAAATTAATATACGAAGATGAGACAAATTTAGCCGCCGACAAAGTGAGTTGGCCACGGAGATTCCCATTATCATTACGGATCGCTTCGGATCGGAAAGGAGTGGAGTGGAGCGAAGGGTAAGGGGTTCGGGGTTCGGGGTTCGGGGTTCAGCTCTCCATAACGAGAAAGTTATAAATTTCGGTATTTTCTCCTCGATATCCAACGACTTGGCGACTTGGCGACTGGTGGGGTCTCTCCTCCGAACTCAAAAGACCGTCATTGTTGGCCGCTTGTTTACACGTTCGTAATGCGACCAATAACTTTTTGTATTTTGTTGTCATTTGTACCGCCCCGGCGATCTGGGAACTGACTGGATGGCCAGGTAAGCGGAGTTATTTTAAGCTCAAAATGGAAGTGGCTGGGGAGGTGCTGATGGAAGGCATTTAATGGATCAAGATAGCAGTTTTATTTGGTTCGTATTTCAAATTGTATGCATTGGTGTTTGTTGTTTACTTGGCAATTAACTACAAAACTGAGAAAAACATACAAATAAGTAACAAACTTGAGAAAAGGAGGAAAATTTGAGGATATACTGATAATTTAACGTCATTCATATATTTATTCTATCCATAGCAATTATGTTTTCAATAGCTTAACTTTGTTTTTACCCACTTTAACTTCATGTAACTTACTTCTTCTTACAGGAATTCAAATCTTTGCAAGCTTAAAGGCTAATAAAATTGTTACTTTAATGGAGGGCGCTCTCCAAAAATGTTATCCCCGGGCTATTGAAATTACTGATTGCCTTGTGGCATTCAAGACTTTCTCTCTGCTTTTCCCCCTCTGCTCATTAATTGAAATATTCGTACATTAGGGCAAAGCGTCACTGCCCAGCGTA